GACGTCACTAAATTAGGAAAAAGGAGCCATCTTGAAAGCCATAATGGCAAAAATCTTGGATTCCATCTCCATGCAACATAAACCTACAAAAGTTATAAATTACATTTGTATATGTATAAACTCGCATGTTAAGAAATGACGAAAAACATTTATGATACTAATAACTCCCTTTGATGATTTTGGGGATTATGCTGTCATTTTTACGCCATCTTGGATCTGTATGATTCTTGTCTGCTACGAGACAATCTAACTGATCTTGATAGATTCATTATTTTTTGCCACCAAATAGGGGATAGACACCAAAGACATACTGCGGCTAATATAACGATTAATTACTGTTTTCAAAAGCCGCAGGCCATCTTGGACGGCAAAGTGGTGGAAAATGTAAATCACTTTTCATCTACGGCTACCATGTTCTTCTCAATGATCATACCAGTGCCAGCAGCCAAATTGGCGAGCACAGTAGGAACGATAAAGCTATATAATACCTTTCCTATAGGCCTATCAATGAAAATCAATACCTCAAAAGGACTTTTAATCACCACTTAGTACCGTTAAAAAAAAACCAACAACTAATTAGGTATTTATTCGTTATATTGGACACCTTCATTGATTTTTGTACAGTTTCTCGTGGCAAATACAACATTTTAAAGACCGGCTGTACTAGTTTGGCCAGGACGGATTAGACCACACAGCGTGGTCATTGACAGATGGCTATCTCATCAACTCAGCTCTCAATTAACATAAGAGAAAGAGGATTATGGGGGACCAATGGTCACCGATTGGGCATTGTTTTCTATATAGAGGGAGCAAGTAGCTACATGTAGGACAGTGGGGCTTTAAGCAGTCTAAATTAATTTTTCATCACCCGAAAAATAGGTATAGACACCAAAATTACAGTTTTAGTTTCCGGCGGCTATTTGGGTTACAAAATGGTAGCCATCATAAGGCTACTCTAAACATTTATGAATATCCTTACCCTATAACCTATTTAATCTTGCTAATCATAGAACTGGAGGACATATATTTGACGCCATCTTGCATTTCTGGGTTTCCTGGTGGCCATAACCGATTGTAAGTAGTATGAATGAATTCTTCGACCCCCTAAGCCTAAGTTTAGACACCAAAATCACATCTCTAAGATGAATATATCATATGACATAAGGCCATTTCAAGGTATTGGCGACATCTTGGACGCCATTTTGAAAATAACCACTTTCCCGGTTCCGATTTTCTTATATTTTTAGCATGTTTTTTCTGATATCAAACACTTCCGGAAAACGTTGAAAAACCTTTTGTTGCAATTTTTTGGGGTCAAACCCTATTTTGACCCTACTATCTGTTAACCTAGTTTTATTTTGTTTCAGCAAGATTGGTTATTGCACCTCATAGCAGCAATACAGTAAACAAAGTTACCGTAAATATTATTGTTGCACTAATAAAGACAGAAATGTAGAAATTACGTTAACGTACTTAAAGTGAGACTGTAAAAGGAATTGAATAAAAATATTTCTGTGCGCCCTTCTCCTTACCAGACTTCCAGGAGATCTAGTCATCACTTGGCCTAAATCAAACGAGGTCCATGAAGGAGAGAAACGACCAGCTGGGAAACGAATAGGTCAGTGCATAATGTCATGGCATCGCCAGAGACTGCCAAGAATCGCAAAATGGATTTGGTGCAAATTCACTTCATTGTGGACAAACATAATGATAATGATATTCCATTCTTATGTGGTGCTCACATGCACATTAAAAAACAAATTGCATAAGAAGTTATATAATAGAGGAAATACCTGAACTTCTCATGAATTGAAAATTAATACAAAATGCAGAGATTTTGGGATATAGGACTAGTTTTTCGAAACTGTCTTCGCAATGTGCTTCACAGAATTAGTGCATGTTTTAGGAGATAACCTTGGAATCATAGAATTAATGCATGTTTCAACAGGATGTTTTCAAAACTATACCTAGTTACACGAAATAGATGAAAAAGAGGCTGAACAAAAAATTCAGTCATAATTTCATCGGCTGGTTCGTTTGTACCTTTCAAACTATATTGCCCATACTGTTTGTTTTGTGTACAGGTGCAATCAAAGCTGAGATCCACGACAGGAAAGGTCAGTCCATGTCAAAGCTTCCTGGAGCTCAGCAAAACTCTAATAAACTCGCGGTGGAGATGAAGATCATTTGGCATTGTGGTGAGTAAACACAATCAAAAACGCAAACCACATCCAATAAGTTACCTTATTCTATATATGATTGCAGGTCCCTTAGTGAGAACAGTATTAATACACTTTACATCTTCCGTCATCACCGAGCTAATATAGGATTTCCCGGCGAAATTCTCGAGTTTGTCATTCGAATTCATTTACTTTGCATTTAAGTTAGCGCAGATCGGCTTTGCCATGCCAATGATCATTCAATTATCCCGTTTTGGTATTTAAACTAGGATTTTGGTTGAAGGGTTTTATAGATCTGTCATTTAATTTAGAAACTGCTCAACTAGCATTCAAATTAATCGTCACTTGTCGAGGCGTCATTTTTATCATTCGAATTAACACCTGTCATTCGTATTCGAATTATGTTTATTCAAGTTGGGAATGGTAGTGGGAAGAAATGCAACACACGTTTACAGTTTTTTAAATATGCAATTAAATGCATGATTTGCCATTAGGGTCTTTTCTGTTATTCCATTTATTAATTTTGTGGACGATGCATATGGGTGTAGTCAGGCATTAGGTAAAGAAGGGGCGAAATCAGGAGATATAACATTTCTGCACGGACATGTTCATATACCCCGGAAAAGTGGGGATACAAAAATACCTACCCCAGTCACAATATTGTACCCTTCCTCCATAATGAAATTGTGATAAATTTATGATGAAACACAAGACAAACAACTTCCATACATGAACATTTACAAAAATATTGAGACCATCAAGTCCGTAGATGTAAGTCGTTTTTTTTCTTCTTAACAATCGCCCCTTCTTTACTTAATGTCTGACTACACCCATATGCATTGTCCTCAAAATTAATAAATGGAATAACAGAAAAGACCCTAATGGCAAATCATGCATTTAATTGCATATTTAAAAAACTGTAAACGTGTGTTGCATTTCTTCCCACTACCATTCCCAACTTGAATAAACATAATTCGAATACAAATGACAGGTGCTAATTTGAATGACAAAAATGACACCTTGACAAGTGACGATTAATTTGAATGCTAGTTGAGCAGTTTCTAAATTAAATGACATATCTATGAAACCCTTCAACCAAAATCCTAAATTAAATACCAAAACGGGAAAATTGAATGATAATTGGCATGGCAAAGCCGATCTGCGGTAACTTAAATGCAAAGTAAATAAATTCGAATGACAAACTCACGAATTTCGCCGGGAAATCCTATATTATTAATATTATTATTTCCAATATTATTATTATTATTATTATTATTATTATTATTATTATTATTATTATTATATTACGGTTTTATCAATGATCTTAAAGTGATCAGTAAGGTTTTGATGATAAATTTAGAGTGAAAATGTGAATGCATTATACTTTATGGCAGATTTGTTCCTCAAAAAATAAAACCTGAAAATTGATGTTTACTCTGAAAAGTATATTAATTTATTAGGCAATTGTTCTTGTTGTTGTTTCCATCCCTACAGCCAAAGGCTGTGACAAGGAAATAGTAAACTTCACGGGTAAACATTCGAAGACATGGTCGTTCTGGTTCAAACCGATAGGTAAGACAATCATATAGACACACCTGCAGAGGAACAATGATTGGTTGTTAGATAACAAACATAATTCTCATCCTCCAATGAGAGGATTGAGTTTACAGTCCATGCTACCTTAATACAGGACTATACAATAACTTTCATACCTCAGTTCCATCACCAAACCGACTCCACGCTGACCCGAAACTGACCGATTCTTGGCCATTCAAGGTGTCAGTCTATTATCGGTCTCGTTGATTTGACTGGGATATTACAAATAGGATCCAAGGCCTTGTATCATAAAACTTTTTATCAATGCGGCATCTGATTGGCTGGAAATTTATTTGTCAGAGTATTTTAGCATTTGTTATTGATAACAATTTTGATGAAACAGAGCACAGGTTGAAAATGTTAAAGGAGCTACACAAACAAAATTCACAAACAACTCATAATTAGAACAAATTACATATGGATGGAAAGATTTTCTCTTGAAAAACACGAACAATTTGCTGAGAAATCATATAGTTATCATGGAAAGGCGTAAAATGTCATTTTTCAAAACCCTCCTTAGACCCCCGAACGCCCCTCAACGTAAGTCAAACACACAAGCGTAGCGAGCTCTGAAAAGTGACGTCACCCACTGGACAAACAGCTCAGTGCCGTGTAGCAGTATGCAGCTAGCCAGCCGTGTCCCGTTTGTGACGTCACAAATATTGACGCTCTACAAAGAACCGCTGAAGGCAGAAAATCTGGATCTCAAAACTAACATTTTTGAAAGTTGATTACTGCGGGCCCCAAACATATTTTGAAGAGAAGAGTTGTTGTATTTGATCGGCAAGGCTTCCCCTTCGCAATGATATGAGTTTTGCATCAATTCAAAACACTTTTGATTCTTCGTGTGGCTACTTTAAGAGTCTTTAGGGCAACAAGTTTTGGGGGTCTTGATTTAAAATTGTCGGGGCTCATGTGCACAGGGACCTTGCATTATTTGGACTTGCATACAGATATACTTACCTACCTTGAAGCAAATGATTGAGATTTCAAAGATTAAACTGCAACTCTGTTTTTAATTGGTTTAGAAATGGTCAGGAACATTGGTCCCCATACCTTGATCCTGCAGACAGTACTCGGGGAGGACGGAGCAACTAACTTGGGAGGACTAGATCTACCGAGTCACAAGATCAAGTTCACAAGTACAGGTAAGTTTGAATGTTTTTTTGCTATCATACTTTCATTTCATCTGCTGACTTCCGGAAGGGGTGTTAACATCAAACTATGGGTAAGTCCAAGCCATTTTTTCACATACATTACCATCCTATGGTGGCCCTGAAGGGACATCGCGAACAGACCTAATCGCGAATTATTCACGACAAAATTGGCGACGAAATTCACGATATCGTCAATTTCGTCGTGAATAATTGGCGATAAAATTCACGACGTCGTCAATATACGAAATCGCGAATTATTCACGACGAGACTCACGCCTGGCTGGTTTCGTCGCCAATTACGTCGTCAATTTTTGTCCTTGCTTACGCGGCCTGCCTAGTCTAGCGGTAAACAATCCAGCCCCTTGAAGACGATTATGTCGAGACGTTTTTACCAAGATTTCTGGGCGCTAGTGTACTTCCGTATCCATTTTTTTAGCAGTTTAATATCCATTCTAAATAACGGAATTTTAGCCCTATTGTTTACTAATTTTAATCATAATCATATGTTTCATTTTCCACTTGAATTTTGATCACATCCGACATCGGGAAGGGCTTCGATGTCGACGTCGTCGCTCAGTTCCGTCTTTACGCTATCAGTCCAAAAGTATGCAGACAAAGAGCTAACATCTTCGTTGACACTCAGTGAAATAACTTATATGCAAAATATTATCTTTATTGTTTTGTTTTTAATAATAATAATAATAACCTAGACTTATATAGCGCATTTCATCTTCGAAGAAAATAGCAATGCACTTTACAATAATAATACAACAAAATTACACATAACAACTAATTCATAAACTAAAGATATATATATATCAAAATAAGGAAAAGATGTTGTTGTTGATGATGGTGGTGGTATTCAGGGGCGGCGAGCCCGAGGGTCAGTGGGGGGGGGGGGGGGGGGTCGATAAAAATCGAATTTTATTTTCCCTCACTTTTTGTAAATTATACTTTTTTCCGTTTGTTGGACAATAACAAATCCCTAAATTTACCGTCAGGCAAAACATGCTTATTAAGAAGCCTTGCCCCCCCCCCCCCCCGCAAAAGAGAGAGAGAGAGAGAGAGAGAGAAGGAAAAGAAGGGAAATGGAAAGAGGAGAGAAAGGGAAAGAAAGAAGAGAAAGAAGAAAAGAAGGAGATCGGGGGGGGGGGAGGAGATCGGGGGAAGGCCGAAAAGCCCTTGCCTCCCCCTGCAAACCCCTCTCTCTCTCTCTCTCTCTCTTTGCGGGAAGGGGGGGGGGGCAAGGCCCTTTTGCCCTCCCCCGATCTCCTTTCCCCCCTTTTCTTTTCTTTCCCTTTCCCTTCTCTTTCCCTTCCTTCTTTCTCTTTTAGGTTTGCAGGGGGATCGAGGCAAGGGCTTTTCGGTCTCCCCTGATCTCCTTCTTTTCTTTTTCCTCTTCTTTCTTTCTTTCCCTTTCTCTCCTCTTTTCATTTCCCTTCTTTTCCTTCTCCCTCTCTCCCTCTCTCTTTTTGCGGGGGGGGGGGGGGGGAGAGGGGGCAAGGCCCTCTCGCCCCCGATCTCCTTCTTTTCCCCTTTTCTTTTCTTCTTCCTCTTCTTTCTTTCCCTTTCTCTCCTCTTTCCATTTCCCTTCTTTTCCTTCTCTCTCTCTCTCTCTCTTCCGATGTACAATTACCCTTAGTGCTTAACCCTTATCTTGTCAAATATAAATTACAATTAGAGCATAATACAAAGTTAGAACCTACCATATTCACAGAAATCATGATAAAAATGGACTGGATCGTTTACCGCTAGACTAGGCAGGCCGCGTAAGCAAGGACAAATAAATTGACGACGTAATTGGCGACGAAACCAGCCAGGCGTGAATCTCGTCGTGAATTTTTTCGCCAATTATTCACGACGAAATTGACGATATCGTGAATTTCGTCGCCAATTTCGTCGTGAATAATTCGCGATTTGGTCTATTCGCGATGTCCCTTCAGGGCCACCATACCATCTGCATCTAAGATTGCAGTATATCTGATGTCGGTACCAAGCTGATAGCCCTACGAGAGCTTGAATCAGACAACACATCAAATGAAATGCTAAATTTTGTGTCAATTATTGTTCACAATTCCATGATATATTTCATTAATACTTGGCTTAATTTTAGGGCATACCTTTTGCTTGCCCTTATACAGACTTAATTGTACACCCTTCTAGCCTTCAGTAGATGATTTATTCTTAGATCAAGCTGTGAAACACCCTTGGTTCTTGGAAATGCTATCTATTCTTCATGAAACTGACGATGTTGTAAAAAATAGAAGATGCTTCATTTTAGTTCAGTGATATTCAAATCTTCAAATGTCATTTTTTTCTGTGGAAAATGTTGCAAATGCATCCAAAGTGACAGAGGATGGAGACAAAGACAAGTTAATATTAGAGAGCAAAAACTACAAGACCAACTTTGCACATGATTTTGTCCCCCTTTGTTGTGGTTGTTTGGGGGGAGTATTGTCATTAAATATCTGGTAAATTGCTCTCCTATGATATAACAAATCCTGATGGTAATCATTTTCTGAATAAAATTAGGTTTGGTACACAAAGTAAATACAAAATTATACTTTATAGGCATCAAGTATTTAGATTAATATCAATGCTTGTCCATTGTGCCTTATTTTATAGCGGGCCCACCAAGCAAGTTTAGCATTGACATCAAGGATCCTTCGTTCAGGGTAGACGTCCCATTCAACATCCCTCTTCTGCTACAAGACGAGCTTAATAATCCCACCGAGCCAACGCCTGACATCAAACCAATCCTCGAAGCAAGGTATACCGATCAAATTTTAGATAGATTTCTTCCTCAGTAATTAGGCTTTAGTATTGTAGTTATTCAATCTAATTATCTATCTACCAAGCCACCAACCAACCTCAAACCAATCCACAAAGCAATGTAAACTGATTAGGTTTGTTTCCCAAGAATTTAAAAATCTGAGTTTTCATTATGCAATCAAATACACTGTTAGATTCTCAAACAAAATTCTGTACATGCACTAGGGGAATTGCCATTTATTATTTAACTCTAGTACTTAAAAATCAACAGTTCATAATATAGAGAAACAAAATTAAGAAAACGGTGGAATGTAGAATAAAGTGGAAGTTGGTAAGATCATAAGGGAATGAAAAGAAGGAAAGGCAGCAGGAAAAAATGAAAGATCGAGCAATGAAATTCTAATAGAGACATTAATAGATGTAGTAGGCAAAAAAGGAAGAAATGGAGGACGTTTAAGAAAAATAAGAAGACCTATTTGTAAAATATGTAAAAGGAAGGATAACATCGTTTTATGAATGGTCATGGTTAGCAGATAAAGAAGACATAAGGATGGAAGCTGAAATATTTTTCTTTTTCTTCAGTGGCCTTGAAATGGGCCATGAGAAGGTGGAAATCAATGACACCTCTCTTATAATGAAAGGAGTGAAGGCATCCGGGGACGTTGGATCGGCTCAAGGAAAGAACTTCAACATGACCGTGACGATACCTGGACTGGAGATCCCTACTCAACAACTTAAGATTAGAATCTTGCCTGGTAAGCTATGGCAGGTCACATGTTCAGGTGTAAACTTGTTCGGAGAGAAAGTTTAGCTCGTAGACGATAGGGTGCTGGTGTTGTTTGATTCGGTGATTATGCAATTGGAATGATGATGATGATGATGATAATGATCTTGTTCATGATGATGATGATGACAATGATAAAGATGAGAATTATCGTGGTACTCATCGTCCTTTGGCAAGATAATGGGCTCAACCCAGATATAGTAAATGAACTAATAATACAAATAATAGTCACGTTTATAAAGCGCTTAAGACTATAGGTTTCTAAGAGCTTTACATGGTAATTATTATTACCTCATTTATTGAATTCAATTGTAAATCTGCAAATGATGGTGCACATGTTCCGCTTCATGGAGAGTATTTCTCAATGCTCTTAGCACCAGTGAGTCAGATTAGCTAAAGCCAGGATTAGATTAGTACTTTAGAGGTGCCTTGAGCATGATATGTGCACTTTATTAAGCTAGAGCTATCTAATCCTTGGGTTGTTGTTGCTGTTGTTGTTGATGCTGTTGGAGTGGTTGATGTTGTTATTGCTGCAGTTCTTGTCGATATAGTTATTATTATTATTTTAGAGCAATACAATTCTTCTTTTTTCTACAGGTGAGCCACACAAGATCATTGTGCCAACGTTTGAAGAAACTGATAACCTCTGCATAGAGAACCGCAAAGCGCTTCCTATATCGGTGGAGATCAGAGACAGTGCAGGGAACTTCTCAGTGCACCCAAAACTTGTAGTCCAGTGCAAGGTATGGGAAATTATTTCTTTCCATCACAATCTAGTATGGTGAAAGGTGTTCTTAAGTTCTACTGGGAAGAAATTTGACATAGGAAATGTCTTAATCAGTACATGTTTTTATGTGCCGGGAATAGGTCATATACGTGTAGGTTAGTAAGGTTAATTCGGGCTTGTGTATGATAAAGATTGGTGATTGTTCCATTCATACCCCTTCACATACACGGATTTTTTTAACGATTCCTTACGGATCGCACAAATTAGGGCCTTTGTGATACGAACATAAAGGGCAATTGCAAAACTTGTGCAAATCACTAATCCTACGTCCAACTCTCTGTCTTTTATTTCATTAGTTTCATGGTGCGGCTGGGTTGCCTTTGTACAAAGCAGACTGCAGTAACTCAGGGAAGGTTACTCTTACTGGAAAACCTATCTTCATCAAGAACATCTCCAAGAAATCTCACGAGATCACTGCCAAAATTGAACTACTGGTAAGATGGAAATTCCGTATTAAACTGATCCTTTGAAAGCAACGCCTTTCCTTTAAATGATTTCAACCTTATTATTCTCCAATGCATTAGAGTTTGGTCAATTATTTCCTGTCCATGGTATGGAAACGTTCCTTCTAACATGTTTTATAAGATTGTGATAATTAAAAAGATCGTAATGGATTAAAATGAATTGATTGGTCAAGGAGCAAGTTATCTTTTTAAGGAGTTTCAGTGGAAAAACAACTTAAGATCACATTTGAAGGACTACGTGTAGGTCTTTAAGAATGTTTGTTCGTTGAAGAGTATTGTACACCTATATTTGGTTAGAATCTTACTTATCCTGCTCTGTTCTCTAAGCCATTGTACCTCCTATTAATGTATATTAAAATATGCATGTACAAATTTTGTGCTTATTTTAAACAAAAAACCAAACTGGACTACCGTAGTCAATTTCAATATATGAAACATTTGCAATGCACATTTCAACATTAAGTCAGAAACTCTTGCGAAATCTTTTTTTGCAAATTGTTAATAAGAGCAAACTGCACGGCAAGAAACTATCATAAATTGAAACAACAACAGCAAATGGTATTTGTATTAATTTATTTTGAGGCATGAATCTATCGCGAATCTGGACCAATCCCAATCTCTGACAAAGTCTCTTGACACGTGAGAATAGTCATCTCTGTTTTAATCTTCCCTTAGCACATCAAAGGAGTCAGCTCTGTAGAGAAAGTCATCACTGTCAAACCCAGCACCAGCGCCTGTAAGATCAAGGTATTCTTCTGCCAACACCAGTACCTTGATGACCCAAAGAAAAAACCTGTCGAGGTGAAACCCAAAGGAGATATTGAGTGGACGGCCGGAGAGGATACATCACAGATCAGTGAGTAGAGAACAGTCATATATTTCAAGGGATATATTCTATTATCAATTAGAAACGCTGTTAAATCGAGTAATTAAAAAAATAAGGCATGTTCACAATAAACAAGATTTTATGTGTTCAAAAAAGGGGAATGGGAAAAAGAAAGAAACATCCCCTTAAAGCATACTCACTTATCTGTGTATGAGACTTTCGTGAGATTTTTAAAGGTAGCCTAGCACATCATGTGGATTCAAGGCTTTGATCCCTCTCTTACGATCTGTACAAAGTATACTTGTTTTATATTTATTATCTCATGATTTGTCTTATGCTTCTTCTTGATATTGTATAGTGTATAATATCTTATTTAATTATATATATTTATGTACTATACCTTCAGCTAATATAATTTTTTTTTTGTAATCCACAGGAATTAGTTGATGGTTTCTTTTCTTTTGTTATTGTATTTACTCTTGTACTTTGTTTTCATGTATACTTGTTTATTGATATACTCCTTATGTTCTTGGAAATGAAATGAAGAAAAAAAGAAGAAATGGAATGAGAATGTATATTTTATGCTTTTTCTGCCAGGCTTTGCTCTGTTTGATGAGGGCGACAACCACATGAAGATTACCAAGGAGCTGGCAAACAAGTTCAATTTCAGCTGGTTACCCAGCTTCAACTCCTCCACCCTCATGGAGGGATACTTGCCCCCTATCAAGGTCCCCAATACGGTGGGATATTCCAAATTCTGTCGTATAAGCTTCACTGATAGATCGGGCCTCGATTTTTCCTTCAACATCAAGTGAGTATTGAGTAAAACAGATGCACATACTTCAACGACGTGGAGGTGCACTCTGTATTACAAAAGCTTTAAGTGATGACTTATTTGTGGTTATATTCGGCTACATTAACAAAATACTATTATTTCAGCTACCTATATAATAGGTATGTGGGCAATCCAAAAACATCCCTGAAGCCACTGCTATAACTACCCTGTAAATAACAATTGTGTATACTAAGTAAATGAGAAGAAAAAAAAACTAATAATTAAATTGACACAAGTGTTAAAAAAACACAGCAACAACAATCTTTCCAAAGAAAAGGAGACATGATGAGTCAACGATAGAGCAGTGGTCTTGAAACCAGGAGGTCCAGGGTTCGAAACCGAGTCGATGCCCTAGTGCCCTTTTTATTAAGGAGATAGTCTTCAATGATTACCAACTCCCTCTGAGAGGACTTAAAGTCGTCCGTCCACTGGTTGCTTACCTTCAAGCATGTACTTGCTTTTTAGTAGTCGGGTCAAACAAACAAACATGAATGTTTAAAATCTTTATAATTATTATTTTTGCGCTATTACCCTTTGGTAGGGCATTAATCCTCATTACCGAGTCCCTTGGAGAGGACTTAAAGGTGTCGGTCCCCTGATTGCTTACTTACAAGCGTGTATATGCTTTCTTAACAGTCAAGTAAAACAAAAAACATAAATGTTTTAAATCCTTACACTTGTAAACAAATTTCAGGCCAATCCCTGGCGAGGCCACAAAGATCAAGTGTCAATGCAAAAAAAGTGTAAAGGTGAAGCTTGGAGAGATCTTGGATGGTGATATTGTCGTCCATGTCATTGATGACAATGGGAACACTATACAGGAGGTAAGAGAATAAAGACTTAAGTCCCAAGGAAAATGTTCAATTCATAAAGTTTTTACCATAGGCCTACTGCTTTATACATGAGCTGTAGAGCCACTTGAAACATGGATGCTTTAAAGGTACCTATTTTCAAAGAAATTCTGTAGCATCATCACTATTCACAACAAATTATGTGTCCCATAATTTATTTTGACTACTTTTTTAATTTCAAAATTTATTTTCAAAGTTGAGGTAATGCCCCTTCGATCGCAATCAACAGTTCTAAATCGACATGCATCAATATCATATCTCTAAGAGTCTCTTGTTCCTTCTACAGCTCCCTCATGATTGCCTGAGCAACCTCAGTGTGAAGGCAGAGGATCTAGACACCGAAGTCCTGCAGAAAACCCTTCTACCTAACGTGGGCTTTTGCCTTCAGAACATCATGTTTGACGGTTCAACGGTAGGGGTCAGGGAGGTCTTGGTGACGTACAACGACTTCACGGATCACATCAGATTAGAGGTGCTTCCTGGCCGACCTGCGAAGCTGCTTGCGATGGGCTGGAAGGCAAAGGAGGTATGGTTGCTAGGGGGAGCGGGTAAATAACACATGCTCCGGTGGGTTGTACAACACTTGCTCCAGCCACGATTTGTCAGTTTTGTTTACTGACCAAATTCAAAATGTCAACCCTGGACCGAATACCTAGTAAACCTAACCCTACTCCTCGCCCTAAACCCAACCTAAAACCCAACCTAAAACCCATTTACAACCTAAACCCAAAGCCTAACCCTATACCTTTGATGAAATAAAGCCAGGAGCAATTGTCACTGCAGCATATATCAGAGAACCACTACGATGAAAACTGAACAGGAGGCCATATCCTACACTTACTTGAATGTATAACTTCACCCCTGGACTAAACACTCTACCTAACCCTAACCCTATCCATAGTCCTAGCCCTTACACGTACCCTAAACCTGACCTGAAAGGTATAGACCAGTTTTGGAAACGCCCCCTCTCAAAAACTAACATAGAAGCTCTTATTACCAATCATGTGCAAGGATATGTTTTGACTCATACGTGACGATACAAATTTTACTGGGAAACCTCCTACTAATTGATTTACTTGGTAAATTATTATATCTATCCGGACTGGATAGAAATAGGGTAGTTCCATATACATCTTTCTGTGAACCGTGCTTGTAATTTTACCAAGACGGGGCCACATTTCTTATCATTTTGCAGTACACACCAATACTAATATGCTAGATGATCAACCTTTTATTATCGATTCCACAACGTTTCTTGCACAATGCAATCGCATGACCAAAACTATACCTATATACCTCTAAACCCAAGTACAACCCTTACCATGTATCTTTGATAAATATAGCCCGGATCAATTTGTGTGGGAGCATTTATCAGAGCAACAGGTAGGGGAAAAGTTTGAGTGGGTGGGGAGGAAATTGGGATGCTAGGTAGGAAACATTGGTTTGTATGGGGAGTTGAAGGTGCTAAGAAATATGTATTGAACTGTGAAAGGATGGAGATATGTGTGCTTGGTGCTTTTAGTGGTTCGCAGAGTTGAATCATTGAAGAATTATGTTGGTGGAGTAGATGATGTTTATGTAGTTAGTGGTAATAATTTGTTCCTCATGGTGATCTTGTAGTACATTGACAATGCTGAGAATGATAATAATGGTGAAAATCATGCACCTCTTCTCTATAGACACTGATAGCATATGACGGCGTCGAGATCAGCAATCCATTACATTTTCAAGTTTGTGATGAATCTGGCAATCTAATCTCCGATGTTAACACAACTATCTCTCTGCAATATGACAAGACATTAAAGGCGAGTGTTGCATTTCACGATTTTTTTTAACATCTTCTCAATTTTCTTAGACGTGAAATAAACAATGAATGAGTGGTTCCCTAATCTCTTTGGCCGTAGGATCTACGTCAGACATTGTAGATCACCATTGTAATAATAAAGTGTAGTGATTGAGGCTATAGCTCACAAATCCGCCATGATGCCTCTGGCGCTTTCATATTATAACATCAATCATATCTGAGCGGCTAATTATGGAGCGATCTAGCATTCCAGGTAACAAATTACACCTGGACAGAGAGTGACAAATAGTGATTAATGCCTGCCACAGGATGTTAGCTAGTGCCGGGCAGGGAACCCTTGAATTGAGAGTCAAGTGAACGAGTCACTACCACAACATTTACATACGACTGGGCTGCTTTTCATTTTTGAAACATTCTTTTCAGTTCTTGATCATTATGATGGGTGAGAACATTTGATTCAATTGCCTAACTTTAGTTATAGATTTCTGTTGTTGTTTTTTCTTTTTATGAGTGTATCAAATCACGTCACTATGCTCCATTTTTGTCTGCATGCAGGTATCGTCAACTGAACCTGTAAAAGCAAGGTCATTTAGTGGTGGTAAAGTTACCTTTGGGAAGCTGACATTATCCGGTCCCTGGTGAGTTGATTCATGTTATCTGTCAAGTAGAGTGGTGGATTTCAGCCTTCAATTTGATGATTAACTTTGATTAAAGTTATGCTAAAAAGGCAATTATGCACAATGTTTGCAGACCACTCATTAAAAAAAAAAGATTATTACTGAAACTGCTGTGTTTGGGATCGTTTGCATGATCTTCATGTGAATGAAAGATGGAGGCAAAAATAAATCTTTAAAATAGGAGGGGCCTTTGACTAAATTCAGATTCAGATTCAGATTCAGATTAATTCTACAAGCCTAGATCTACTGATCTGCTAATGATCATCTACAACTTACAATACAGCACAAACAATTTTGAAGAAGTGATCAATATTTGCGCATATCAAACACATAGTGATGACATCATCGCATGCATGTGCCTTCAACAGTGGATAAATGCCAATTTATGACATCATGATACACTATGCATTTGTTTTGTTTGATATCGTATGCCATGTACAGTATTTATGAATAGTACATTTGATTCTAATCATGGCTCGTGACAACTGCTTTTAGCTTATGATAACTTGTGAATTATATTTCATCACATGATGCACAATGGACCGATTACGCAGATTCTTTGTATGGCGGATATAAGATGAATTTAGAAACAAACATCTCAGCTGTCTCCGTTATCTTGTTACCTAACAGTGGGAAGTACAAACTACATGCGAAAATGTCCATGGAGTGGTCATCCCTCTTGAGTTCTGATCTTGCTGTTGAACTCAAGCCAGATCCCAAGAAGGCACAAAAACTTCAGGTGGACTACAAAGAGGAGTGTGTCTACACTGCTGGGGATCTTTTTCCAGGTTAGTGTAGGGGTGAAGCACGATGCCAACGCTGATATTGATGATGATGATGGTTATGATGATGTTAATGATGATGATGATGATGATGATGATGATGGCGATGATGAAGACGATGATGAAGACGATGGTGATAATGATTGTGACGTTCATGGTGACGATGATGGTGACGATGACGATGTTGATGATGATGATGATGATGGTGATTATACTTATGAAAAGGATTAAAAGAAAAGTGGGAACAGCAAGATGGTAGGGATAGCAATCATAATAATGATGATGAAACTATTTTAGTTGTCAATTGTCTGTTAGTACTCAATTTGGTTTGCCTAAACATCTTTCCAATGTAGCAAATCAAGTGCTCTCTTTCAATCTCCTAGATTTTGACATATCAGTAATTGCTGCTGATGAGAGCACCATGACCAACATCCCTCACAAGAAGATCTCCATGAGTCTATGGAAGTCCACTACCAACGATCAACACCCTGGTCCGCCACCACCGACCGCGCTAATGACAGACATGGACAAGCCCAGTGAAGAGGATAGGGAAGGACATTTCTACTGCAGGTGAGAAACACAAGTGGAAACTCTAAAGATAACTTCTACAACATCAACTTCTTGCAAACCTAGGGCAGGCCTCCACACCCATAGGAAAGAAATGAGCCTGCCGCATACTCCTGCAGCAGACCTGCCGCAGACAGTCATCTTTTTCAAATACAAATTAGTTTTGCCGCAGAATTGCCGCAGATTATTCATTATGGATATTCATAAAAAAGGCTATGACAAAGAGTCTGCGGCAGATCTGCCGCAGACTCTTCATCATGAATATTCATATCCCATATAGACCTGTTGCAGACCTGCCGCATACTCTTTCATATCCACCCCAGTGGATGTGGCATTAAGTATGCAGTCTTGCAGGAAGGCTAGCTGGAGAGCCATGCATTGCATCATTACATTCTAGCAACTTGAATTAGGAGAAACAGCTAGAACAGGTGCTGGACTTGCTTCAAAAATTCTACAAATGTGGGTTTAACACAATGCAGAAGTAGAGGTAGATCGAGGTATAGGAATACACTGCATACACATATAGTCCAGAGTACTATGAGTCACAGAACCATGTGCTACTGTGCACACATTACACAAGAGTTACAACAAAAAAGTGAGTTAGTGGGGCTGAAGATAAGATCACATATGACACAACAAAAAAGTTTGAAACAGTCTGTTAATTCCTCAGTCTCCTCTTATGTAACAAATTCCTCTTATGGTACCAGCTAGAACTTGAAGCAAATTGTTTGGTTTAATTGACAGAAGCTAACAAGACAATTAACAGTGCTAACTCAGGATTTAACAAGATCATGCTGGGCTCACCTGGGCCTGCAACCTCACGGTCCTCCAAAATGACCGCCTATAGCCTTGCTGCAGACTGTATAATTTCCCACTTTTCTGTGGCAGATCTGCCGCAGACTGTTCCTGTGGCATACTGGTATGCGGCAAGTCTGCAGAAAAAATTCTTTCTGCCGCATACTTCGGCAGACATTTTTTCCCGCAGACTAGACTAAAAGTCTGATCTGTTGCAGATCTGCGGCAGGTCTGCGGCATACTTTTCACTTTCCTATGGGCCTTTACGTTTTTGTAGGTGGTCTGTCTTTGAAGGGGCTGTTTTTTGTTGAACTATTTCTTAAAATTTAAAATTCATGGTCTTGACTGACTTTAAATGTTATATGCCCATGTGCCCAAGCTGCCTGATGGTGTGAATCCGTGCCTAGGGGGAATGTAAATGTGTTATCAAGTTTACAAGGTAAGACTTAGTTTTTTATGGAGGCAAAGAACAAATTATTACATTATTGGATATTCGCTTTTAGAATTGACTGAAAGAGACTCTTGCCTCTTGCCCAGCTATCAGGGATATCAGATTAGATCATTTTGAATCATACATCAAATGTTGTAGTATGTACCTTTGTATTTATACATATATTTGTTTCATATCAATTATTATCTATATATAATTTTACATCAATATATTAAAGCATTTTGGACCACAATTTGAATGTAAATCTGAGGGAAAAACTTTATTAAAAGCTGAATTATCCCCTTAAAAAAGAATAAGTGATAAATTATGTGAAGGTAATGAAAAGTAGCCTTAGAGGTGTACACATCTCTTCTACACCACTATACAATAACTGAAAATTAAGAATTTATATAGATAATGATAAGGTAGTACCTCCATCAATTGTTTTTACTTTGTAGAAAACGAAAACTACCCGAAGAGGCACGCATGCACTCGATAATCTTCCAAGCTTCCGTGGATCAACAGATGCTCTTCTCTGAACCGGTGAGTAGGGAACAGGATAGGGAGGAAGGGGTGTATTGGAGGGTAACCCCACCAAGGTAGGTTACTACGACACATGCACTGGCAGCAATTGTTCCACAGAGAATTTCCTACACTAACCAAATTCCTCAGATCAGGGTTGTTGTGCGGCAGTCATCGGTTTCGCTCGTACAGAGTATCTCAAATTAGACCCCCCCTCCCTTCATCCCTCGTTCAAGTTGTTATCAATGCTCAATTCCAGCAAAGTTATGTGTCTTTTGTATAAACCCCTATAATGGGGCTTTCGATTAAAGTGGCATCTCGGTCTATAAAGCAATAGACTTATAGAGATCACACAAGATGTTCCCCATCCTCAATACCTCTGTTCGTATTTGTGACTGTTTTTTCCGTGGTTTTTCTTGAACCCATTCAGATCGGGTTTGATATCCAGCCTGGTCCACCAGTGAAACTGATCCCAGATATAGCCCCACCAACTCCAACTGTATGCAATACACCTCAAGCACATAGCAGGACTCTCAGCGAAGCGCTCAGGCTACAGCTTGTGGTAAGTATTTTCTTTCTTCTGACCAAGCTGCCCCATATTTGGGGGTAACTCATTGAAAATGGGCTGGAGTCTATTGAAACTGTGTGTTATATAAAAAATTAAATCGAATGGGTTAAACATGGATGTAATAACAAAAAAGATTTTGTCAGATTTCAAGCCCTTGGCCCGTATTCAATTCCATACTCAAGCTTGAAATATGAGTATTTTACTTAGTCTTCGGCTTAGATAAAATACTTAGCCAATTTTGCTTTTGGCCAAGTATTTTCCCCTAAATTAAAGACAGCTCCCTACCAGACTTAAGCCAATTATGTGAAGACCTTGATTGCGATGGCAGGCATATGGTTTTCTAACGCAATATCATAACAATTAATGAATCATAACAATTATATTAGCGCGCATTATTTTATTGTTCTTTTGTCAGTTTTAAACTTCATGGTTTCAGCTAACCTACTCTAGACATTTTATGAAATAGTTTTTAAGCCAGACTTAATTCCTCATGTTAATGTTCAGTATATAAATTTGATTTCCTCCTCGTGCTTTGTTTTTGTTAGCTGCTTTGTTTATGAAATGTTATACATTTTAATTACCTTCATGCCATATTTTGCAGGTCTTCTGGGTGCACCAGTTGGTCGGGAAGAGGGACCATTACGGTTACAGTGATTTAGTTTGCTTTCCTCTTCTCCGGCAGCCAACTGATGCACTCAGAGGACCTCCAGAAAGATTGTGCATTTATAATTGACATTCTCTAAATGTTTGTTTACCTATATTTACATTGTGATATTTGTTGTGAATTGCCGAATAAATAATAAATAATAAATAAATTGCGACGCGTTGATTGCGCATTACTTTTGATTGACCGTTTGATGTCGCAATACTTATCAGAAAGTATTCTACTTAGATGTTGTCTTACGTATGTAAAAGTCTAAAATGTGATTTAAATACGAGATAAGAAAAGTTCTTAGCTATTAAAGCAATTTACTTAGTAAATGTCTTACTTATTCTAAGTATCAAAGTGAATACTGGCCCAGGTACGCATGTCTGTTTTAGGCATTTTGCTGCTTTTGTTTGTTGGCCTATTTGGATTTTTTAACACATGAGGAGGTGCAATGGCTCAGTAGTATATTTAGCAGTTGTCTCACAACCGGGAGGGCCCGGGTTCAAAACTAAGTCAATGTACGTGTGCTTCAGCCCTTTGGTAATACATTCTCACTACCAAGTCCCTTGGAGGGGGATCGTTCCCCTGAGGATAACAAGCTAGTTGCGTGAAACTAATTTATATCATTATAAATATTTAACCTTCACCTTCTTTGATCTCTAGACTGCCTTGTCAATAAGCTTATTTGACTAAATGTGAAATTGGCAAGCAAATCATCCAAAGAACAATTGGATGTTAACCACCTTTTTTTGGTGGTATTTGTAGGATGAATTTGGGAATGTGACCGGCAAAGATATGACGGATAGCATTGAAGTTCATGTGAAAGGCAACAATGGAGCTGAGCTGCCTAAACTCCAGGGCAATGAGAGTATGATGCAGTTCCCGTTGAATAAAGGCTTTTGCTTCATACAGGTGAGTCTCGTACAATTCGTTTTTGTCCCCAATTCATCCACCCCTCCTCTTATGGAACAACCACAGTGTTGCCACACTATGTGTAAACTGTGTGGACATTATGTGTTGTCACAGTTTGGAGTTTCAGTCCATGTGGTTTACCACATAGTCCACATAGTCGTACAAATTTAACACAGAGTGATACATATGTACCACAGTGTGGTATGTACTGAACTATGTGTAAACTCTGTGTTCACTATTGTCACCGTGTGGGGTTTCGGATCATGTGTTTTACCACATAGTCGTACAAATTTAACACAAAGTGACACATATTTACCACAGTGTGGTATGTACTGAACTATATGTAAACTCTATGATCACAGTATTGTCACAGTGTGGGGCTCAAATTATGTTGTTTACCACATAGTCGTACATATTTAATACAGAGTGACACATATTTACCCCATTGTGGTATGTACTGAACTATATGTTAAGTCTGTGATCACAGTGTTGGTTTCAAATCATGTGTTTTACCAGATAAACGTTCATATTTAACACAGATTGACACATATTTACCCTAGTGAGGGGTTTGGTTTTCCACATAATCGGTCACATTTCACACACAATGACACATATTTGCAACAGTGTGGTATGTATTTAACTACGTGCAAACTCTGCAATCACAGTATTTTCACATTGTGGGTTTCAGATCATGTGGTCTTCCACATAGTCGTACATATTTAACACAGTGTGCCACATATTTACCACAATGTGGTATTAATCACTATGTGTTAATTTGCATAATGAATACGGGGTGCGTCCAGATCTATGTTTTTATACAATTAATTTATGTGAATTTAAAGCATATTTCTTAATTACTGATGATTTAGTTATAATTCATTTCAAAAGTATTACAAAATAAAAATTGCCAATTATTAGGACATTTTACTACTTTGTATAAATTACATTTGATTAAACATGAATTAGGGAAATATTAACTATGAACTAAAATATATTCAATAAAATACAAGTATATGGAAAGTTGTGGGACACAGAAACAATCCTACTTAGTCCCAATGCCTTTACATTGGAAATTGTAGATACACCAGTGATGCTGTGTTAATTGTTGCCACTTGCAAAATTAATTAGTACAATTGCTACTTATAGCGTAAAGTACTAATTAATTTTATCATCTGGTGTTGATGCCACAGTTTAACAGACTATGTGGTGCGTACCACAGTGTGGTAACGCTGTGGTATACTATGCGGTTGAAACCACAGTGTGGGCCACATGTGATGTTGGGACATGTGGTAACGCTGTGGTGTACTATGTGGTAGATACCATATCGTGGGCCACATGTGATTTTGGGACATGTGGTAACGCTGTGGTGTACTATGTGCAGTCGATACCACAACGTTACCACACTGTGGTACGCACCACATAGTAAACCACAGTGTTACCACATGTCCCAAAATCACAAGTGGCCCACACTGTGCTAACGCATTGTGTTTGACTATATGATACAGAGTGTGGTTCACTATGTGGTAACACTGTGATTTTTTCATAAGGGATCCCCACCCCCTCCCTCTCCTCCCCTCTCTGTCTTTCTCTCTCTCCCTTCCCTTCCTCCCCCTCCTTCTGCTTTCCAAAAAAAAAAATCGCTCAGTGGGGGGGACGGGGGGGGGGGGGGGGGGGGGGGGGGTAGTGAGCACTTTTTTTTTTTTTTGTTCCTCAAAAAATTTTCAATTTGCACCCCCCCCCCCTTGAGCGCCAGGGGGGGGGGGGGCCAACCCCCAAAATCGTAAAAATCACGTGATTTTACATGATTTTTTTCTCAAGGGGGGGGGGGCCGGGCCCCCCGGGCCCCCCCCCCCCTGGATCCGCCACTGCTGCTTTCTCTCCCTCTCCCTTATCTTTCTTCCTCATCCCCTCCCCCTTCCTTCCCCTCCCATTCCTTCCTTCCCATCCCTGTTCTTCCCCTCCCCTAGAAGGTTGCCAACCAATGATAATTACAAACAAGTAAACAGTACGTTTGATGTGTTAACTTGTTGAGGTATGTTAAGTTTTAGAGGTTTGGTCATGAGATAGTTGAACTTTACAGGTAGAATATACTTAAAGGAAAATAAAATGATATTGACTAGAAAATAATTTATTTCATTTTAGAACATCTCAATTCAAGAGAATTCGCCAGGACATGATGGAAGTGAGTACAATTTACACTTCTCATTGAAGAGCAAGGGACCTGAAGTGAAGCCGTACATTCAGCCATTTCTGTTTTGTAATGGTAAGCACAACACGAATATGAAAACACCTGCCTTTGTTGCTTCTTATATAGCGCGTCTCCATTACCTGACCAAATTGCTTTCAGTGTTATATTACCCTGGTCTTTGATTATGGTGCACATTACAGTGCACATTCTCCACTCCCTGAGGAGCACTCTAGCTAGTCACCTTCTTGCAAATGCTAATCCAACCAAAATGACATTCGCATCCTACCAGGTACCCAATTCAAACCTGGGTGGAGAGGAGCAATGTAGATAAAAATGCCTTGCTCAAGGAAATAGTACCCTACAAGGGATCTATTAAGGCAAAGAACTTTACATTTATCATTCAATTAATATATTCATTATTATATAACACCATGTAATACTACTACTACATTTACTTTCTAAAGTAGAAATCATAGTAGTAGTAGTAGTAGTAGTAGTAGTAGTAATAGTAGCATTTTTGTTAGTACAGATTTAGTGAAAACTGAAAGGTTTTCTTTGTGATCGAGTTTTCCACAAGTTTTAACCTTTCACACAACATTTGATACTTAATCACACACCAGAAAATGGTATTCTTTAATTTTGAATGTTGGCTCCTACAGTGGTAACATGTGTTAACTGTTTATGTGTTATGATGGTTTATGATTTAGAAATTGTACTCCTCTTGGGATGAAAATGCCACCCCTCCCCCAAAAGTATTGTTTTGATTTTAGGAATGTAAAATATTGTGCTCGTGATACAAAGTAAGGCATTTCTTACTGATTTTCTTCTGATTTGTGATTTAAAAAATAAAAAAAATTCTTGGATGTTTAATCCATGAAATTAAATTTCTATTCCTGTACCCAGATCCCGCGAAGCAGCAGGAGATGTCTCAGCTGTTGAAGGAGAGAGACACACTCACTGCTTCTATCAAGGCGCACAAAGAGCTGTTTAAAAAGGAACAACAGCATCTACAGATGCTCGAAGGTAACGGCTCACAGGAGCATGTCTAGGATATTTTCAAGAGATTCGAGGGAGGCGGATCAGGGCCCTGTTTCATAAAACTTGATATCAATAACAAGTTACAAGCTACTGTTATAAGCTACTGAAATCAAGCCATCTGATTGGCTGAGAGCAAATTTGTCATAGCAATTTAGCATTTGTCATTGATAACATGTTTTATGAAACAGGGCCCAGATGTGATTCTATGGAGAGAGGAAATGAAAAGGACAAGGATTAAAGAAAAGCTTCATCCAGACCTTTTGCTTACTGCAATATAGCCATTTTTTCTCCGTATAAAAATGATAACCACTCCTTCCTCCAGAACTATCACCTCTGAATAACCACCACAAGAAAGAGTCTCCCCCCCCCCAAACAAAAAACAAAAACAAAAAAAACCAACAGACCATTACCCCTCTCCCTCTCCCATTGTATTTGTATTCATCCGATATTAACAAGTTAAGAAATGTGTTATTCTGTTATTCTATTATGGGACAATCGTTTGCAAAACTTGAATGGAACTTTCCATTATCAAACAATTTCTTAGTTTGTATGCGTGCACTTAATTTGGAAACGAAGTTATTTTGTTTACATACTTTTCTTACAATAAGAATTTAAAAAAAATTTAAGAAGTGTTGTGTACCTCATTTGTGATATGTGTCGTTGTTTTTTAAATGTACTCGTAGGGACTTGCGTATTTAGCGTTTCATTCAATTTTTGTTTGTTTTTTGGACAGAATCTGTTAAGGATGCTGCAAAGAATGAGCTCGAGTTACAAAAAGAGTTGAAACTAGTTGGAGTCCAGGATGCACAGATAGCAACGGTGAGAACACAATGTACTTCACAGGCAGGAATTACCATTAAAGAATTCGCAACATTTTCTTCCCACAACTGGTATCATAAGACTGAATTATTGCACTCCAAGATTCAAGATTCAAATGTTATTGTCCACGTTAAACAAAAATTTTGTTGACCTCCACTGGCATAAGATAACAATAACTAGCATAAAAATACAAGAATATGCACACAACAATATCATCAATTAGATTTACGAACAAATTTTAATACATTACTACAAAGGTATAAAACCAGGCGCTAAAGAAGAGGAGATAGCAGAGTAAGATGATAGACAAATGCCAGAAAGATTGTAATTGAAACAGGAGTGAAGGGTGTGGGTGGGGTCACGCACATTATTGTGAACTTTTAGAAGTCATGCATTTCTCATCTAGCGTACTGATGGGGGGGGGGGGAGGTCTTTTTGGATTACTCGTTGAGAAATTTTCCTTGGTTTTTCTAGCTTTTAGGTGTTTTGCTTTGAGAGAATTCCATACATACACAGAAAGTTGAATGTAAGAATACTTTGAATGAGCGACTGGTAGAAGAGAACTAGAATGCTGTTATCAACTCTGAACTCCTTTAGTTTCCTCAGAAAGTACAATCTTTGGTTTGCTTTACTAACTATAATCTGTGAGTTTTTTCCTTCAATTTAGCTTCTTGTGAACAACTGTTCCAAAGTATTTATGTTCTAAAACCTGTTCAATACAATGATCATGGATAACCAAAGATTCATGTAATTGGGGTTGGGGTGAACGGCGCGACGCGGCGGAATTAAAAAAAAAATTTGTCTTGATTTTCTTTACATTCAGGACCGAATGACGACTATCGCACCAGTCAACAAACTGTTTGACTTGCTCAAAATTAACCCAAGTATCATTCAGTAGAAATCCACTTATGACAGTATCATCTGCATATTTGATTAAATACAATTGGATTATGAAATTTTACATTCACTTGTGTATATTAAAAACAAAGTGGGGGAAATTACACACCCTTGTGGTGTCCCTATACCCAGTGACCTACCACCTGATGTAGTGCAATAGTAGTATTTGCACTTTAACCATTGTGGTCTATCTACAAGAAGGTTATGGATAATCATGGCAACTTTGGGTGGAATATTCAAATTCGGAAGTCTATCAATCATTTGATGTGGTACAATTGTATTGAAAGCGCTTGAAAATTCAATAAAGACCGATCAGACATAGGACTTTGGGTTGGCTCAAGTCTCTTGCTACAGGGATGGCTGTCATTGAAAAGATAGTGAAAGACCATGTCGCAGAAGCTGCTAGTGAATGCTTGTTAAACTAATCTTGAGGTATGGTGATGGAATAACATTTCAAGAGTCTTTTAGATCAAACAAATATCTACAAACTATTAACAAACATGTCTTGGAAATCAGCTTCCCTGGAGAGCACAACTCATATTTGCACTAGGAGAATGAACGCTCTGCTCACGTCTTATTACTAATATCTTAATTTGTGTGCGTGCTACTCAGCTACATTGTATGTATTAGACATTTTCAAAAAAAATGTCTTTTGCACATTTTGAAATATAGCAAATTTCAAAATGGGCAGGTGGAAGAATTGAAATAAATTGAAGTGGTAATAATTATAATGCAAAGAAAGTTGGAAGGGGATTGAAAGCATAGATATATGTAGATGGCCACTTGAGTAAAGCAAATCTTCTTCATACAACAGAAAACTTAATAAAATGAGTAGTTCATGTCAGATTTAGAGGAATAAGAAACTTATGTCAGTTTTCTTCTGTTTCATGTTGAAGAGAAAAGGAGTGGAAGAATTAATGACATCTACTAAAAAAAAAATTGAAGAGAGACCAAGAAGAAAATGCGGGATGCCGCCATACGAGACACGGGATGGTGAAATACTTGGAAAGGTAAGCAAATTAGCATTTATTTACCAATGTGTAGTTTCTGATGTTAGTCTTTTACCTTTTTTTTCATTTATATTAGCCTATTTACTTGTATTATGAATGTTCAGTAACTGTTTAGTAGTGAAATGGAAAAGTGATAACTTGCGTTTTTTGAAGGATGAAATTGCTTGAAAGTCCATTATTCATGTCTTGGTAGCAAGAAGAAAGCTTGATCAAAATAAAGTTTGATGTTACATGTCTCTAATTATCAGTATATAGTCCCACATGTTTATTTACTTGTTATTAACTCTCCCATACTCCACAGGTAGCACACCTGGTTGAGGTAGAAGAAGAGAATGTTGCCTTTGTGTTATCATGGCATATGGCCTATGATATGAACTGCGTCCTCACCACCACAGACGCCAAGGCTGAAGAGGTCTTTGAAAACACAGGAGGGCGTCAACAGGTTCTCTCCATAGAGTCAATCTACAGGAAAGGCCTGACTGAGTGGGACAAGTGAGTGTGCAAACCAGCCTTCAATTCTCATCTTAGTTTCTCCAATATTGCAAGAATGAAGAAGGGTTTGATTCGTATGTATAATACAAATTATAATTAATATTTGTAAAGATAGTAGATAGACAGGTAAAACATACCCTCATTCCGTATCATCTATGCTATTACTTTTATTAGCCTTTTTGTTTTAAAGTTACCTGTTTTAAAGTTACCTGTTTTAAAGTTACCTGGTGTAATTATGCATGCTTTACCCATATGCTGTAGTGGATATATCCTCCCCGAACTCTGTATGAGCTCGTTTTTGATGGGATCTGAATTGTTAAGGCTTGTTAAGATATGACGCGGTAGACCACTGCAAAAAATATGAAGAGTATGACATTTACATAATTTTGTTTAAAGTCACCGTTAACCGTCTCATATTTGAACGAGGCTTAATAACAACAATATAATAATATTCCAAATGTAGCAATAAGAAATAAATCTATTTCTATCAATTTACTTAAGTGTAACAAATAAGTTTCTTAATAGTAAAAAATCCGTTGGAAAGGTTTTCTGTTTTAAGTGCTTTAGGCCAAGGCTGTAGATCCAATTCTGAACAATCCTCTCTGGGGAAAATGTCTTAATTGTTCCCGCGCTGACCTTTCATATCGCGCATTCAGATATGATGCGGCAAAACCTTTGCAGATATATTTATGACTATAAAAGGTTTGATAAGCTTCACTTTTATGTATTTTATAACATGGTTAAGTAAATATGCATAGTACATTTATTGCGCGCAATTAAATTTATATAAACGTTTAAAAATATGCGGCAGATTTTCTTTTAAACGTGGTTCACAATGTCATGTCAACAAGCTTTTACTCCCAAAAGTATTCCTTTTAAACTTTTTTGGTTAACTTACTTTTTGTGTTTTTGGACAGGCCTCTACCGCACATGGGAGTACCCACCCAGCATCGTCGAACCCCATCAGGCAACCCTGTGTATGCAAGGCACCTTTTAAGGTTCACAGGTCATGAAGCCTATTGTAGGATAGGTGAGTAGAGATCACAATAGATGGTCTATTCTATGAAAAGAAATCTTTTTCCAAAAAGATATGATAGTTTCAATAGCAGGGACATTGCAATAATGTAAGCATTAACTGTGCACAAAACAGAATATAATACCTTGATTAATGCATTTGCCTCCCCCTCCACCAACCCAGTCCTAGAGATAGATGGATGCCGAGTGTATTATTCTTGAACTAGTAGAATTAGTATTGACAGTTGCATTTATTGTAGTGATAGCAGTAGCAGAGCCTATTTCATACTTCAGGGGTTAGGGTAACTGAATGACATTTACGTGTACCTCAAATGACTGAGAGGTTTAGCAAATTTTGGTTTAAGTTCGGAATTTGACAAAATATGTCAGTAATTGCCTGCAGAGTAATTGTCCCCCAAGCATGTGTCATAGAAGTCAATTTTTTTATGGAGCTTTAACGTAGAGATGGGTTTAAAGCAGCAGTGTCTTCATATACCATGACAATTGTTCAATCATTTTTTTTTTACAATGCAATTTATATATTTCCTATTTTTTTTTGTACAGCCTTCAGTCTCTTGCTACACGATACCGTACTCTTAGATACACTGATAGACGCAAAAGCATACAGACAGTCAGTAAGTGTTTAGGGATGTTTTATTCTTCATTCTGATGTTTTTGATCGTGTTTAGGGTGGTATGACAGTAGGCTAAGGAATCTCATCACATTGCAAGAATAAAACAGTAAATGCCTGTTATTTCTGAAGATATCACTGTAAAAAATTGTCCTACGTCACCTTATTCCAGTGCAAAAAAAAGATACTGACTTTGCTTTGAAATGCTTAAGAATAAGAGTAATTAATTACCATATACACTGTCCGACTTGGTCATAAAGGTGGAATAATTATTTTTACCCCAATTTATGGAATGATTTTGACAATGATTTATTCCTAACAGATCTAGACAATAGTATACATTCTCAGATTTTATTAAATAATAATTTGTGAGTGTTTGTTTTGCGTAACTGCTAAAGATTGTGTGTGCTACTATGCTAATCAACTAGGGGACCTACGTCCTTAAATTAAAACTGACAGTAATGAGGACAAATGCATCACATCGGCACGGTCTTGGACCTTTTGTGCCCTTTTGTGAGGCATTAATCCGCATTACTGTCAGTTATGACTTATGAACGTACATGTACGTACATGAGAATTATATAAGAATGTATATTATTTTCTAGATCTATTAGGAATAAATCGTTGTCAAAATCATTCCATAAATTGGAGTAAAAAACAATTATTTCACCTTTTTGACCAACAGTGTACATTTTCTGTAAATCCTAGCTGCATCAAACATGCATGCAATATATGTAGCTGAATACATGTTTATTTGAATGAAGATCAAAAATTGTTATGGATCTCAAAGTGTAAACCATGTTTCATACCATAAGGTTCTCTGTCTTCTCTCTCTTCAGATTGTGAATTACATCCCCTGCCCCACGCTCCTCACTCGCAAAGGCGACTGTATTCGTGGCAACGGAAAGTTCGGAGGACTTGAGAACCATTGTCCGTTAGACCTTCGGGGACGCGTCTTTGGTGAACCTCCTCCCAAACAGTTAAAATCACTGGAGAAGCAGATGGGTGAGTCCTCATAGAGAGCTAGAGTGTACAGTCTCAACTGATCAATTAATTGTCTTTTTGACAAGATCACCTGTCTAACAGTGCTTAGGCCGATGCCTTTGAGAGATAAAATTTATCCTAATTGATTTTCAAACTACATTTGGGTTCTTAATCATTTGTGACACTGTATAATTATGAGAGCCAGGCAATGTCAATGTTGTGATTGCTTAATTGGAGGATTTGTAATCATTGTGGATCAGTTGCAACTCTTTGATAAGACGGGCCCAGGCATGTTGACTTGCAAAATCCTTTTCCTAGACAGTTGAAACAGAGGATAAGACTAATTTTGAGCCTAATACCTTTCAAAAAATATTGTATATCTGCATGTATGTTTTTCCATTATTTTACAGGACTTATAACGCAACTCTAGTACTCGTTATGTGACCATTTCCCTACAGCTCTTAAAGATTTTATTGCAAATTAATTCAGAATTTCAATCAGATTCAGATAAAGTATCAACTGCATTAAATATCCTTTGGAAATTTTGAATCATGAGCAAATTTACAATTTTGCTCTTAATATGATACAGAAATCCTGGAGCAGATCATGCATGCCATGGAGAGTCGTGAGCTGATTCAAGTCGAATACAATGACCAGGAGGCGGCCCTAAGATCAGGGGATATGGTTACCAAGCAGCGGGATTGCCAGGAGGATGAGGAACAGCTTGGTCTCATCAACCAGAAAATCAGTAAGTCCGAATATTTCAGAATTGACATCAGTAGATCAGCTCGCAGTTGGTGCATGTCTTCTGGATTTTCTGCAGTAGAGGTGTCGTAGTCTAGTGGATACGTCGTCGGACTGTCGATCACGCGGTCCGTGGTTCACATCCCGCAGCAGCACTGATGTCCTTTGGCAATCTGTTAATCTACATTTGCCACTCTCCACCCAGGTGTTACATGCCTACCGGTAGGAAATATTTGTTTGGATACTGGGAGCATCAAAAACGGTAGCAGAGCCGGGGTAATTTTTGGAACACCTTGAGCACATTGTGTGATGGATAAATGCGCTATATCAACATTTATTATTATTGTAATCATTATTTTGTCATAAAGGACCAAAAATGTTCTTAGATTTGTTCAATAGATCCAAATTAGTACTTTCTTTTAAATAATCACACCGAACGTGATGAAGGTGGAAGATTACTTCTGCGCTTGCTTGGAATTTCCGGCACTGAGCGCGCCAAGTACTTGCTCATACACTTAACTGTGGAAGTGACAACAGACACACGTCACATTGTTAAAGTTTAGTGTCACATTTACGTAATTAACTGGAACCGAATTTCTCACCATTTAATGGACAAGTTTTTTGGAAGTTTGTTAATCGTTGATGTTTTGAGGAAGGTTTGATGTCACACATATGTGAAACTACATGAATAAAACTCGCAGATCTTTCTTCCAGCATGACCGGTGTGGTCTCAAAGTATTTAAAACCCAATTTTGTCAATGCATCAATTTAGAACATTTAAGTTAAACATTCAGTGAACATTTTATTTTGTAAGTACATTTGCTCTAGTCAATGCTAAGCAGGGAATATAGCTAACCATGCTAAGTCATTGTATTGATCAGTTAACGTGGCTTATCATTGGTTTATAGACTTGGTGAATATTGTTATTATTTCTGTGTCTCTACTGTCTCTACCCCTTCGTCCTCGATCATAGAATCGGCTGAAGCTTCAAGCACAGATCATTCTCCGATTCCAATGTCCATCACATCTTCCAACTCAAGTGGGCAGTCCACGTCCAGAGGAACGACAAGACGGTCAGCACCCTCTGTGCCAGAGGCTCCTCCAACCAAAAGAAGGAAACCCTAATTGTATGACCCTCCCCCTTCAGCTGTGATGTGTTTGCTTCATACACCCGGTCCCCTCTCCACCAAGTGCTCTCCACCATTCCACACTGCCAATGTTTATACTTCAATACCTATATGAAGCACAGTAAACGTCATTTGTGTGTTCAAGATTGTCTATAAGATTTGTATTCGAAACTCAAGTTCTTGTAAAAAATTGTGGGCATACCACCTTTATGTAGATTGATATAAAGTAACACTGTTCTGGCTTTGAGCAAACACTGTCTTTTAGTGATCTTTCCAGATATCTGCAAATGGTCGACACTTACCCTTGAGTACGAACAGCCCATGGCAGCCATCTTGTGCTGAATGTTGTTTGGATGTGTGATGATGTATTCTGAAATGTGGAAAAAATAAATAGAATAATGATATTACCTCATTTCCTCCTTTCTAACTCATTTTTTTTCTCTGTCTCTCTTGCTCTCTTCTTTTATTTTGTTGTTTGTTTGTTTTGTTTTGTTCTTTAAAATCTATTTTTTTATTCAGGATAGACTTTGTGTATGTGTGTGTGCGCGATGTAAATACCAATTAATATCGTGAACCTCCATGCGTGCTTCTGTTATATGTACTTTGACTGGGGACTAGGGTCATGGGGGTAATATGATAGTGCCTTATCTGTGTACATATCATAGTTAAAGATATTTATAGCAATTAAGTATCCAATAGTCGGAAAGGATTACTTAAATCAAAGTTACAGGCATTGAATAATGATTAGCCATTAAGTTATTGTCAGTTTTATCATCCACTAAACAAATGGACTTTTGAATATGACATGATAAACCAACCATTTTGTCTCTCTGTTTTAGTAGGAACATAGATTTTAGTAGTCACATCCAATAAAAATATTTTAAATTGTAGAAGGAAAAAGACTAATTCCCTCATGGATTTATTTTTTAGGTAAACATTAATTTGTTGTAAAAAAAAAGATGTATAAATTGTATGGTATTACTTTTTGTCACTTGTCAATATATGCATAGTCGGAGAGCATCTTCGAATTTTAGTGTTACAAATTATAGATGCATATCTTTAATAGATTTTATCTATATTTCAACATTTGACGGATTTTGTTTTGATGTATATATAATTCCTAATCAACACTGTCTGGGTTTTAATTGAACCATTGTTTAACTTACAAGCTAGAGAATGACACATGTTTATGAAATTGTAATCATTCATCTTTTCATACAATTTTAAAACACATGGATGAAATATAAACCTGAAATAACTTATGCAAATAGGCAAATAAGACTGACGTTTAAAACAATAGTCATAACTGAGCTGATAATATGAGCTATCTTGTCATTTTGAACCAAATAATTAAATTTAGACTTTCGTTCCTTTGGTATAAACTTGATAATGCATATTACCAATCTTTGTAATTTGTCATCATTACTAACACAAATGATGCATGTGTAGATGTGTTACTATCATTCCTTTAAAAGAATCACTTATAGGTACATTTCTTTTATGTACACATGTTATTTTCTTTTTCTTAAAAAATTGAAAACATTCTATGTCGATCGCACCATAATGGTGTTGTTCTACAAATCAGCAATTGAAAGTATCATCGCGTTTGATTGTGTAGTATGGTACATGTGTTGTCGTAAAGGAGACTTCCCCATGTTGATTAAAATCATCAGACAGGTGGAGAAGATAATAAGACGAGAATTAAACCTTAGAGATCTATGCCGAAATAGGAAAGTAGAAAAAGCAAAATCCATCCTAATGAATAATCAGCATCCCTTGAACGAAAACTATGTTTGAGATCAGCTAGCTGTCGGACAAATCGGCTCTAAAACTCATTTGTACCTAGCTCTATACGAATATTAAATGAGCAGGTAATATATAGGGAAATTTAAAAAAAATGATACCTTTACATAACAATAGTAATATTAATACAATAATCAGGGGTGATAGTGAGCACTAAAAGAAGAAAAAAAAAGTGTTTTTCCTCAACTACCCCCCCCCCCCCCTTGAGGAAAAAAAAAAAAGGATTCGGGGAGTAAAACAAAATGGCATCTAACATCATATACCCCCCCCCCTTTAAATAAGAAAATTGAGAAAAAAGGAAAAATAAGAAAACTCGGGTAAATAAGAAGAAAACGGGAAGATAGGGGTAAAAATCAGGGGGAAATGAAATTTTTAAAAAAAGAGAAAAAAACGGGAAAATAAAACGAAATCGGGTAATTATCAGGCCTGATTAATGATAATAATATAATGATGATGGTATTACTGACGATAATAACAATAAAGCAATTATAATAATGCAATACCCCCGGTACATTATTGTAAAAACTTTTCCTCATTCCACCTCTCGTGTTAAACATGTATATTATTTTCGATGTATGACTATATCTTTGATTGTTAATTGTATTGTATTGTATTGTATTATTTATTCGGCACTTTCAAGAAATATAACAATTTAACAATATAAACATGGTAAATACAAAATTGGAATGACAACGAATGTGCAAATACAAATTGCTATGTTTTTGTTTTCTGTTCACTCAAAAATATTTTATTGAATTTTTGTATGAGTGTATATCTTATATAAATATGTGTTTCGTAATACCATGTACACACTAAGAAAAAATAGTGCAACTATACACCTTTAGGGATTCAAACCGATGCAACAATAGCAGCACCTTTAGGGGTTAAATCCTGCACCCTTTTTAAAGGTGCAATCCTGCACCCTTTAAAAGGGTGCCTGATTGAACCTTTTAAGGGACATGGGTACCCTTTATGGTTCAATCCTGCACCTTTAGGGATTCAAACCGATGAAACAATAGCAGCACCTTAAGGGGTTAAATCCTGCACCCTTTTTAAGGGGACGTAGGTACCCTTAATGGTTCAATCCTGCTCCTTTAGGGGTGCAAACCGATTCAATAGCAGCACCTTAAGGGGTTCAACCCTGCACCCTTTAAAAGGTGCAATCCTGCACTCATCATCGAGGAATACTTGTGACATTTGCTCGTACACAAATACATATTAAACATACATGATGTTTCTTGGTTAGTAATCATATAATCAATATATATATTGCTAAAACGTGAATGTAATTGTAACATGATCAGAAAAAATAATCTATTGGTTAATGATTGCCGAAGGAAAATACAAATCACAAAATTGATGTGCATTGTCATAATTTGCTTAACAAATCATATGATAAATGTATTTTTAAGTGAACACGTGGACAGAGATCATGAATATGCATGCAATATGCAAACTTTTATTTTGCACCCTTTTTTAGTCGTTAGGGTTCATTTTTGTGGGAAGGGTGCAAAATCTTATATTGCACCCTTTCTTGAACACCTTTTCCTTCCATAGGGTTCATTTTTATGTAAAAGGTGCAAACTCTTATTTTGCACCCTTTTTGCACCCTTTTTTCTTAGAGTGTAACACAACGAATTTCCATTGTTAAATGGACAATAAACATGAACCTTATAAACCTATTCGGATTTATAATGATGATAAAATCAATAAACTGCACATGTCTGCAACAAAGCAAACATCTACAAGTCTCTGTGTCTTTATATTTAACATATATCTGTACACAATAAAATCAGGAAATGTCTGTGTTTGTCTGTTCGAAACTCCCCTTCCCGGCAGGGAATGATCAGGGTCTGGCAATCCAGGGCAACATCACTTCTGGAGCTACTGAGTGGCTCTGTTTGAACAGGGTCGGCAGCTGTTTCAGTATCAACGTTAGAGTGTTCAGCATCAAGGCAACGGTTCCCCATCGTACAAGATCCAATTGCTGGGTGCGTTTCTTTTTGGCTTGAATGCTGTGCTTGATCTGGCTGAGCCTCTGTGGACTATAGGCTGTTGATTACTCACTTATTATCGATTGACGGCTGTAACTAGGCTTCTCTTGCTAGAGTAAAGTGTCTCATATGGTCCACGTAGCAACGTACTTGTCTACCATATTCTAACTCTATGGTATACATTTAAAAAGAGATTGTGGAGATCACCTTTCCTCTTAGCCAGGTTGGTTCACTGGCCTTGGTGTATGCAGAATGATGTCTACTTTCTGAGGAAGTGGGCTTATACTTTGCTCAGGCGCGGATCCAGGGGGCCGAGCGGGCCTTCCCCCCCCCCCCCGCCCCCGCAAAAAGAGAGAGAGAGAGAGAGAGAGAGAGAGAGAGAAGAAAAAGAAGGGGAGGAAAAGGGAAAGAGGAGCGAAAGGGAAAGAAAGAAAAGGAAGAAGAAAAGAAGGGGGAAGAAGGAGATCGGGAGCCGAAAGGGCATTCCCCCCCCCCCCATCAATAAAATAAGAGAGAAGGAAGGAAAGGGAAAGAAAACGGAAAAGACGAGATAAAGGGAAGGGAAAAAAGAGGAAGAAGAAAAAGATATCAGTTGCAATTTTCCCGCCAATAACGTGTGGATCGGGGGGGGCGAAAAACCTTTCTCTCCCCCCCCCCAGCTAACCTAAAAGAGAGAGAAGGGAAGGGGAAGGGAAAGAGGAGAGAAAGAGGAAAAGTAGAGGAGATCAGTAGAAATTTAATCGCCAACACGATGTAGATCTAGGGGGGGGGGGGGCTCAGGCATAGGCATCCCCCAATACAATTCGATACCGGTGATTTACAAAATTGTGGTGACACTGGCAGGACACTAATTGGCATGTCTGTACAGGGGCTGAGCCCCCAGAAGCTCAGGGGTTTTAGGCATTAGATTACCGTCAAATTAGCACTCAGGGGCCCGCCTTAGGGCCCTAGGTTGAAGTCCGGGGGTAGCACTCCCCGAAGCTCGGGGTTTTTGGCATTTAATCATGGTCAGATGAGCATTATTTTGTGACGCTGACAGGTCACTATTCTTTCTTTCTTTCTATTTCTTTTTAATATACTTTTTTTAAGTGAGGGAGCTCGAGGCCCCCGAGATCCCCGGGGTGGCTAGGGGATCGACTGCATCAGCTCCCCCCCCCCCCCCCCACCCCCGAGATATTAAAGTGCTGGAATTCAAGCAACCATCGCTTGAAATTCGGGCATCGGGGGCACCGCGTAGTCTCAAGACACAATCGGGACAAGGGGTACTCGAATATTGCATTTTTCTGAAAAATGAAGAAACTGAAAAGATGTCAGCCAGCTCCTCGCAAAAATGTGCCCGTACGTCCATGGGTATTTATAATGTGCTTAAAAACAAACAAACGGCCGAGTACCCAGTGGTAACTCATCTTTACTACGATAACTCACAGTCTGTTTTTAAAATTGAGTTAATTTATTTTTTTGGTTAAACTGCTAAAGATTTACTTTTATTGTCAACGTAAAACCCCCTTTCCCCTACAATAATTTTAGTTAGAGCAACATTGTTATCCATTCAAATATATGGACGGAGGAATTGGGTACGGAAATGTAGTCGATTGGGAATATAGCTTTTTGATGACGTTCAATTTGATGCACTGAATATGAACCAGAAAAAGTATCACAAGCAAGCAAACAAAGCAAAACGAAAATAAGTCACCCCCCCCCCCCAAACAAAAAATAAATAAAAAAATGAATAAAAATAAATAAATAAATAAATAAATAAACTACAAATATTTTGCATAAAATGTGAGCCAACACGCAAAGCGCTTGGTATTATTTTGTTGAAGGAGGCCAAAACGGGTTCATTGGATTAAAAACAATATTCGGGTCTGCAACTGCAGACTATGGACAAGTCCTTTTGGAACCGTGTGCAAAATTGCATAAACTGCATAGTATAGTCTTTATCGCATACACATACAGTATGCCCATGATCAGAACTACTCCTACTAATAACTACTAGTAATAATAATAATGATAATGATAATAATATGGTAATGATATTAACAATAATAACAAAAACAATAATGATATTTCAATATCACTTTATTAACGCTCCTGTTTATTAACACATTGTAATGATTATTTCCATTTGTATTACCTGCCATGAACGATGTCCCAGTCATGTTTTGTCATGTATGTTTCTTTTTTAGTTTTGTTTGTATATGTTATCCTCTTAACTACTGTTCGGGGAACTATGCCTCTACAAGGCCATATGGTCTTATTTTCTAGTTCCCTATTTTCATTTTCTTATATATTGCGAATGCTTATCATTGTATATACATTTGTATTGTTTTTATTGAAAATAGAAATGAATAAAATGAATTGAATTGAATTGAATTGAAGTACTAATAGTACATAGTAGCACAGAGAAAAAGCCCATGCCATATACTCTTTTGTAATACAATGATGAAAATAAATTTAATGATAATATGCCTTATAATGAGAAAAAGAAAAAGGAAAATAAAGAGAAGAAAATTCATAACGTGTCTTTTCTTAAGAACATGTAGGCTCTAAAGCTATGCCTACTGAAGCAATATGAGCACGGTAGAGTATGCAATAATAATTTTGCTACAAAAGATTTGCTTTGGCAAAAGATGTCAATGTAGCTCAATTCAACAGAAACGATAACATCACTTACGATTCACAAACCAGGAATATGAAAATGTAATAGCTAAGACTGACATATAAAATAAAAGTTAACTATTCGCATGATGATTCAGAATTTTAGACTTCCGAAGTAATCGGTGAGTGTACCTTATTTAAAGGCTAAATCTGTAGACCACCGAGTGCATCAATCTAATACGATCATCCACAGTTTGTGTGCAGAGCGGATACTAGTCTAGCAGATAAGCCCCTTCATCAATATTTGAAAGAATCACATCCAATATGTATTCAATTAAAAAATACAAGTAAAAATAGTCGATACAAAATATTTGGATGTGTATTGCAGACGTAACCTTTATAATTTCCGTTAATCCTTATTTAGTTTTATGCACTCGGAACGTGAGACCGCACGCACAGGTCTGCTCTATATACAAGGATAGTCACTGGGCATGGTGCGGTATTACAAAGTCCATGGGTATATGAATATTCATTATGTTATTGTGTGCACTCGGGGCACCACAAAAAAAGCTGCGGCTCGAGTGCAAATTTCGACGCTCCTGTATTCACAAATGACAGAAAATAAAAAGAACATTTCTAGAGGATTAATTTTCATTAATCTCAACATTATCAGGGATGACATAAATATTGGAGTTAGGTCTGATGATCTAAATATTAAATAAACATTTATATATCTTTAAGGTCGCATGTACTGTATGTAGTTTGGGTTATGGTTAAAACAAATCCTGATCAGTTTTAAGCACAATCAAATAATGACAGACTATAACAAAACGTTAACAAAAAACTAACATAATTATATCAACAGTAAATGCGAGTCGGGGAGGGGCTTCTTTTTTGAAGGGCTTCCTGGACGGTCGATTTGGGAAAAACAATGCACATTTTGGGGGAAATTTGTAATTGGATGTATTCTATGTGAGTTTATGCAGCTGTTAGTATTTTTTTACAAAGGAAAATGGGCACGTGTCAAAGTAAAACGTGTCACACCTCTCATATGTGAATTGGGGCAATTATCAGAGGTGAAGGGGCGCTTTTCAGAGGTAGTAATTACGAGGCACTAACCAGAGATGATAAGGGGCATTTACGATAATGGAACAAGGAAACGTGTTGCAATGGAAAAGGAGCACTCAGACGGTCAAAGGAAAATGAGTGCTTATCAGATTTTGATAGGGGTATTATTTTATCAGAGGTGAAATGGGGCATTTATGAGAAAGATAAGGGGCTTTTATTTTTTAAGATAGGGGGGGGGGGGGTACTTATCAAATTAAAAACTAGGGCGCTTAATAAAAAGGAAAAGGGGCACATGTCAAAATAAAAGGTCACTTATTAGCAGGGGAAGGGGCACTACTTGCGAAGAAAGAGGGTCACTCGTCAAAATAAAATAAAATGGGGCACATTTCCTCTGTAAATAGGGGCACATTGAGGGTACCTGAACAAATTTGGGGGCTGCGCACCACTGATGCCCCTCGAGAGTGCCACCTCTGATTAATTAACAATTTCAGCAATTCAATATACCCTGAGGCCAGATGATATCCAAAACGTACAAAGACACTTTCAGTGCATGATACTGATATTCCATGAATAGTACTCATTATATTCGATGTAACTCCTCACGGAAGGCTACTGTATATCTACACAGGGTTTGCATGACCGGGAGGGGTATAGGCCTACTCCAGACCCACTCCAGGTTCAAAATACTAATAGAGGGGATCGAGGCACTTGATCTCTTGGCTTGCGACTCTCTGAATTAATTTCATCTTAGAATAATCAACTTTCATTACATTTCGACAAATTAACCACAACTACCCTTTTTCCGAATAACGTATTATTCCAGCCTGAAATAGAAGTTGCATTGAAATATTTAAGTGTTCTTCATACAGTCCGAAGCCCAAAGCCACTTGGAAATGGTGATTCATAACATACAGGCATTAAGAAAAGTTTATTTTTTGTTCGAGCTTCGGCTAAAAAGAATTTTAGAAAACAAGGGCAGTTCAACATTATTTATCCATCTAGAAGCCACACAAAGCCGGTCACATGATTCAACCCAGCCAAACTCGGAAAAGCTGCCCGCACGTACTGAACGTGTCACATATCTAAATAATCTTGAATATTCAATAGTTGTTTGATTATTCGTGTGAAATAATGAGGGCGAGCATGCAAGCGCTACTCGAGTGCAAACCTAACCCCCTCTAGTCTCTTCTTAAGGTGTTTTAATCTTTATCACAAAGTATGACAGAAAAAAGATCACAATCATTGTTGTACCCCGGGAAGGCGAAATTTGTGAAAACTTTTAAACATTATTCATTTATGCTCCATTTTATGTATTTCGTGTGAATCAATGAGTTATAACCATACAGGCCGACCCCATAGTGCAAACTCTATATCCTATCGTCTCCACTCGAGGCGTTTTGATTCTATTATTAAGAGATATGATCAGTGATATCGAACCTTCTTCACTGGTATTGGAGGAGGACGGTATATAGTGACACGTGAACTTTGAATGGTGTGTTGTGTCTGTACATGGGCCGGGGGGGGGGGGGGGGGGTCATATCGTACATAGTTATCGGTATGGTTTTGTTGTTGCCCGGGGTTGATTTGTTCTTGTAGTGGTTGTTGGTTATGTTTTAATTTATCATATGATTAGGAGCGTAAGCCTTGAGATCGTGTACATGTCAGTACCATATCAATTACATGCCTATATATTTTTGTCACTGTGCTACATGATTTTGAAATACTTTATGGAATCTTTACGTTTTAAAGCTTATCTGTACTAGTTTATAGGAGGGATTAGACCACACTGGACACGTTGTTATCTCATCAACTCAGCTCTTATTTAACATAAGAAAAAGAGGATCACGGGGGACCAATGGTCACCGATTAGGCAATGTTTTCTATAAAGAAGGAGCAAGTATACCAGTAGGACAGTGTGGCTTTAAAAGATTTTGACACAAAGTTGACAGTGTTACCTTTATCATTCAATTTCGTACTGTTTCACCAACACTTTTTTCTTTTAGGCAAACGTTGGGGGGTGGGGGGGGGGGGGGGAGGGGAAAGCATCCCCGGCGCTTCTTTTTAAATACCGCTTTTGCTTCCCTTCCATATATACACAGCCTGTCATCACCATTCCTGATAGGAGCGTATGCAAAACTAGAAACGCCCATATAGATTGAGCTCTCCACACCGCTAACAATCTAGTGCATAATACGTGATGTGTTTACCTATTTGTTTGCACACGGATCTTGGAGTGAAAACACATAAAAACCCGAATTTCACCAGGTTTTGTCACAAGCTAGACAAAAGATTAAAAAAAAAATCAAGCTGAAGCGATTGAGTGTGATTTACACTACCTTCTGAAACGTACAACTCGAGTTCAATTTCATCACCATGCCTGACGTCAAGTGTGACTGCTGCAAGGGTAAGAAAAAAAAGTCGAAATCAATGTTGTTGTTGTTGTTGTTGTTGGTAATACTACCCTCTTAAAAAAAGAGAGTGAATTTTCACTCTATTTTCACTTTCTTGGGAGTGACGTCCGTAATCACTTGTTTAGGAGTGAAAATCGATTGATTTTAGAGTGCTCTCTAAGAAGAAAAGAGTGGATGTTTACTCTATTTTCACTACAATTCCCCGGTGGGGTCACTCAATGTGACTTCCGGACCGCATGACCGTTACCAAAATCGCGGAAAAAGGGGTCAATTTCAAGCAATATCCGCGGACAAAATATTCCTCGAAATAAAGAAAACAGGGGTGCACAGGACTGTCCCCGAAATTGATAAATAGGGGTCAGGAAAAGGGAAAAGAGAAAACCGGGAAGGGAAAAGAGAAAACCGGGAAGAAAAATTCTCGGAGCCGAGTCTTGTCCTTGAAATATGGTAAAATAGAGTAAATTTGCGAAAGTGTCCTTACAATCTTATAAATAGGGGTATTCCAAATTACGATTTTGTCCTTGTTTTGACGGTTAAATTTCACAAAATGTCCTTGAAATTGACCGCTAAAGGGGGTTATATGCCTTGGTGGTAACGGTCATACGTGTCACTCTTTGCATGGGAGTGACCCCACCGGGACATTTTCACTCTCCAGAGGAGTGACGTCCGTGATCACTCGATTTTTTTTTAGAGAGTAGTTTAATGGCGTTCATTCAGTATTGAATATATACGCCATATCTTCAGTTTTATAAGAAAATCAGTTATACATAAGAAAACTGAGAATAAAGATTTGTAAAGACATAATCAATTAGTCAATAACGCAATTTATTAGGAGTCTCTGGATGGTTTGCAACTCCGTGTTTCTGCATGGAAAACTAGCTTTGCCCGATTCGAAATCAATGTTCAATGTTCTCATTAACATGTTAAAATACCCAGTTACCGTATACCGTGTACGGTGTAGCGTTTCTAGAATCAAACCGCTTGATTTTACGCGATCACGACACACAATGCAGCCTGTCTGCTAGTCTGCAGGCACAGACCCTAATTTTACACTTTATCAAAAAATCATTGTGCCTTGAGAGAAGTCTAGCCCAGCTACCTACTGGTTGTGTCAAGAGCAGCTACAGTACATGGCCTATGGTTGTCTTATAGTGCAAACTCACTTTTACGACTGACCAGGGTTTGTGCTTACAGACTACCTGTCTGCAACCATGGACCATGCTGCAACGTAGACAGTGCGGTGTTGTTGTTGTTGTTGTTGTTTGGTGTTATCGGCGTTTCATTCGTTTTTAGAAATAGGATCCGTTCTTTTAATCATATAATTATTACACAGAATCACGTAATATCTATATTCATCGAGGCAATTATTTAGGTGGAAAGGGATGGGGGTATATACATTCTTAGTTACTCTCCACAGTGGCGTACGCAGGATTTTTTCAAGGGGGGTGGGGGGGGGGGGGGTTAAAATCAGGTCCAAAATTTCGCAACGACTCAGCCAGCCGCTAAATATTTTTTTGTCTCGAAATTTGGAAATTTGACATTTTGCTCCGTTTGGGGGGGGGGGGGGGTTAAGGTCAACTTTTTTAGGTCAGCCATTGGTATATATTTTTTTTAATTAAAAAAACAAACAAACAAAAAACAAAGGGGGGGGGGGGTTCATTCAAAATACACACATAACAAATACCAAGGGGGGGGGGGGTTAACCCCCACCCCCAACCCCCTGCGTACGCGCCTGACTCTCCATGAATATATATTATGCTAATGAGACTTTAACAATCTACAGTTTATACTAGTCTGAGTTACAGATCCCAAAATGAGTGTCGACTGTGTAGTAGATGTGCACATGGAAATTTGCATTCAACTATGTTCCAAATGTATGTGACAAATGAGTTATGTCATGTTTTCTTGCCCTCAGGCTTTTTTCATCCTTGTTACATCAACGGTTATGTCAATAACTGAGTTTTTACCAACAAGCACTGATGGATTTGTGGTTTCAAATCCAAGATTGTTATTACTTTTATTATGTTTTTATATCATTATATATATATATTTTTTTAATTCTGAACACAGAGGGCAAGGAGTGTGCCTGCAAGGGACAAGATTGCTGTAAAACTGGTGAATGCTGCAAGGATGGAATCTGCTGTGGAAAATGCACAAGTGAGTCTTTCATCATTTTCATTGAAAATGCCTCCTACTCCTAGTAGGCATTTAGGCTACTCTTTACACAAACATTTATATTCATAGGGAAAAAAATGTTCCAAATGCTCATGCATTTTTTAATTTCTTTATACTATCACCCTTAAATGGGTGCAGGCAAACTAGCAATGATTATTTTTGCACAATATATATATCATTCAGGTGTATCTATAGTTTTGTTGTGGGGGGGGGGGGGCACAAATCTAACAAAATGTTGACAGGCTAGATATAGGTCTATATGATTTGCCAGGGAGATATGAATTTACATCTCCTAGGTGTTATATTTTTGTTGTCACTAATTAAATTAAAATCACTATAGATCTACAGTATATATATATATATATATATATATTCTTTTTTTGGGGGAGGGGGTGGGGGTTGTTGGGTTGAATGTATATGAGGGGCTCGTTATATATTCTGCTGTGTAGTCTGTATGTAAGAGAAATGCAGTTATACCAGCAATAGAGACATTCTAATTTGATGTAAATTACTTATTTTATCTTGTTTTTTCATAGATGTTGCATGCAAGACGTGTGCTGATGGCTGCAAGTGTGGAGGCGGCTGCTCATGCACTGAGGGGAACTGTGCATGCTAGACGAGGAGGGCCCTTTGCTATAGGGATGACAGGTGAGATTTTATTAGTGTTCATGGCTATATAGTGAAAATTGTTTCCAGACACAAACCTTTGCCAGTCATAATATATATTACAGGGTCTGAAATGAAGACTGTAGATCTGCACCGCATCAATAGGACCTCTTTTTAGCTGCTTGTATCTGACATATACATGTATGTAGCTAGAGACAAAGTTTTAATGTGTTATTTTTTTTTTTTTTAGTCAGATTTATGAGGGCTATGTTCAATAGCTCGTTCAATTTTAACTTGGCTAAGTCTATTATGGAATTGTGTCGAGTGTCAAAAAGAGTCCTGTCCTGCATGAATTTCATTAGGACAGCAACTGGTGGTAGTACTTTCAATAATTGCAGAATTGCTCATAACACATCAGTTGTTATTTGATACCTATGAATATTGTGTCACATTCACTTGAATCATTTTTTTTAACAATCCATACCCTGAAAATATTGTTGGTTGTACCAGGAAGTTTTACTAGACTTTGTAGACTTGCGTTCTATGTTGTACTAACAAAAATTGCCTTGTCATTTAAGATAAGTGTTATATGTAAACTAAAAGAATATGTACAATGTCCTGAGAGGCTCTCATATTCAATTTAGCTCAGTTAAAGGTACTATGTCCCTTTTGCAGCCAACCTCAAATTCTGTAGAACTTTGCAGGAATTATGAATATGTCATGTATGTCCTATTTAAACGTTAGCAGTGTTCTAATATTCAAATTATGCAAGAAAACTTGTTTACTTGCTAGACTTCACTGTCAGACACTATTGAGTGACTGACTGGCTTTTTTCTTCTTTGGTAATAACATACATAAAATGAGCTGTAAAGAGTACATGAGCATTTGTCTACATCAATAACCCACTTCTTGTGATGGCCGAAATTAAACTGATTGAATCTTTGCGCAGCATAAAACGTATGACCATTCGGTACAATGGTCTGTACAATCAAGACTATTACTTATTGGCTCTATAGCTCCTAAGTCGATTTGATAACTAAAATTCGTTATTTTCCCACTTGAAGACATTTTCAAACCCCACCTTTTTAGGGAAGTTCTAAATTAGTATTATCTTTCAAATGCCATTGAAATTTAACCTTTTCATTTTTTTGGCTTGCAAATGGGACATAGTACCTTTAAGAAACAGTTATTTTCATAAAATAAAATAATTGTATCACTGAATGAATTTGAATGTTGCTCTAATGCTCATTGAAATGTAAATAAAGTAATATGCAAAAAACAAGATTGACATTACTGCATTGGGATATATGAAAAAGGCCAATTACAAAATCTTTGCAAGTTATGACAATATCAATATGTATATTGCCTTTCGTGACTTTTGTATATAATTTTTTCAACAACCGGAACAAATCTAATGATATCATATTTTTTTGTACAAATATTTTCAAGCATTTTGTTTTTCTCTCCGTGTCTGTTTCTCTTCTACAGATTGAGCATACAGCTGATGAAGTCAATCAGTCAGCGCATCTGCCAAAATGCTCCAAGCAGACATGACTTTGTATATTTTCGACCCAATGCCTTATACTTTTCTTGTAAGGTAGTTGTATATTAAGTTAATTTAAACTTTATTTTTTCTGAAATATGAGACTAATTGGCATTAATAGGACTACTTAAATAAACTTTAGTAAGGCTGACAGTAATGCCTGGTAGAATTTTACTTCATTTGTTGCTGCCCTGTATTGTAAATTGATCAGTCTTTTTCTAACTTCTATCAAATTGTGAAATTTGGAATGTATTTGTAATGCGCCAACTCCACATGACTAATGTGTTCGAGACTCACTCGTGATCAAATTTAAATAATGCTTTGTATATTGTCGACCCGATGCCTTATATTTTTCTTGTAAAATAGTTGTATATTAAATTAATTTAAACTTTATTTTTCTGAAATATGAGACTAATTGGCATTAATAGGACTACTTAAATAAACTTTAGTAAGGATGACAGTAATGCCTGGTAGAATTTTACTTCATTTGTTGCTGCCCTGTATTGTAAATTTTTCAGTCTTTTTCTAACTTCTATCAAATTGTGAAATTGGAATGTATTTGTAATGCGCCAACTCCACATGACTAATGTGTTCGAGATTCACTCGTGATTAAATTTAAGTAATGCTACAATGTACATTCAGTATGCGTTACTTATTTTTTCTTATGATTTATTAGGATGATATATACTGAGGAAATAAGTGAGATTATTGAGGTACTTTTAAGAAAAGAGAGATGTGTAATTTAGAGAATTGAGTGCTGTAGAGTGAGTATGACCAGATAGGAGTGAAAAGGGGAGAGGGAGAGAGAGAGATAATGAAAACAAAAAGACGTGGACGAGAGAGAGAGTGAGTATGACCAGATAGGAGTGAGAAAAAAGAAAGAGAGAAAGAAAAGAGAGAAAAGGGAAAGAGAGAAAGAAAAGAGAGAAAAGGGAAAGAGAGAGAAAGAAAAGAGAGAGAAAGAAAAGAGACGTGGACGAGATAGAGAGTGAGAAAAGGAAGAGAGAGAAAGAAAAAGACGTGGACGAGAGAGAGAGAGAGAGTGAGTATGACCAGATGGGAGTGAGAAAAAAGAAAGAGAGAAAGAAAATACGTGGACGAGATAGAGAGAGTGAATATGACCAGATATGAATGAGAAAAGGGATAAAAGACAGTTGGACGAACGGAAAACGTCAATATGAAATAATAATGGCAAACGTAAAACTGATGAAGTGCCCTGTTTTCCTTTTTCGATAACATGTGCCCCTAATTTCAGTTGAAAGCAACTAATAGCGATCTATTTAAAAAAACATTGTCATCAGTGACAAATTACAGTTTTTATTATATTAAGCTATATACTGAAATCCTTGCGTCTGATTGATTATCTGCAGATTTGTCACTGATTTTTGGTATTTGTCATTGAAAAAAGGCTTTGTGAAATGGAGTCCAGGTCTTGCATAGACCTATTAGCATTCACTAACTTTAACAAGTGAAAGCTCCTATCAAACTTTTACAATATTTTATTATTATTATTTCACATCAATTTAAGGAATGTTTTGTGGACAAATAATATTTTATTGCACTTGGTATAGGCCTAAGTGTTCTCAATGCGGCTAAACTCTATTAAAAGTAGACTTTGATTATGGTAAAAATATTTCCCTTGTAAAACCAGAGAGGCAAAATAAATTGCCATTTGCAAGGTAAATGAACCGCGGTTTCCTGTAATAAAGGCAATAAAGGTCTCTCTTTTTTTCTCTCTCTCTCTCTCTCTCCTAATTGTGCTCGACTGCTGTTTAGTAGTTTTTAAGCACTTAAACACACCTATCTTCTCTGATATTGAGGTCTTTCCTTCATATTTTGGTATTTATCGATCATATGCTTTAATACCATCTATTATCTGCAGATTTGTCACTGATTTTTGGCATTTGTCATTGAAAAAAGGCTTTGTGAAATGGAGCTCAGGTCTTGCATAGACCTAATAGCATTCACTAACATTAACAAGTGAAAGCTCCTATCAAACTTTTACAATATTTTATTATTATTATTTAACATCAATTTAAGGAATGTTTTGTGGACAAGTAGACCTTGATTGTGGTAAAAATATTTCCCTTGTAAAACCAGAGATGGAAAATAAATTGTCATTTGCAAGGTAAATGAACCGCGATTTCCTGTAATAAAGGCAATAAAGGTCTCTCTTTCTCTCTCTCTCTCTCTCTCTCTCCTAATTGTGCTTGACTGCTGCTTAGCAAATTTTAAGCACTTAAAGGTAATACAAAGTTTTGGGAAATTTTTGAAAATTGGGTGGACAGTGATTCTTTACAATTTTGATATATTTGATTGCCCCTGTGGATGTATTACAAGCACTGAAAATTTTAATCCCTAAAACACTTCTACTTTCGAGAAAAATTTAATATAAAAATTTACCGGTGCTCCCGGTAAATTTTGATAAATTTCAGATAGCGCCTACGGTCGTACAATGGTAGCTGCGACCCTGAAAATCTCAGAATTATGTAGGTCTGATATATAATTACCTAACGGGAATAGCCAATCGGTCGATTTAGTCAAGAAACATTGTTTTATAGCTTAATTAATATATTGACCTTGAGAGGGAGCTATACAACATGAAGAGTTTATTACTAACAATTTCATTTAATTTAGACTCGATTTCAACCGTGACGATGATCACTGAATATTGTAGGATCGCATATGCTTCCAATATGTTCATTTGAACCAAATTCATAACCCTATACCAAAACTTTGTATTACCTTTAAACACACCTTTCTTCTCTGATCTTGAGGTCTTTCCTTCATCTTTTGGTATTTTCGATCATTTGCTTTGATACCATCTATTAGAATATCATAATGTGTCACTCTACCCCACCCCCCCGGGGGGGTAGGGGGAATTCAGATTTGGTTTTGGCGGGGGTATGCCGCTGAAGCCGATGAAGCCTCGAAATCCCTACCCATTTTGAAGGGTCATTTTGGCGGATTCTTTTCGAAGTAAAGCCCATTTTTCAAAAAATTCGGGTGTTTGCATGACAAAAACAAAATTTTGAAAAAGCGGACCCATATTTAGGGGTATTTTTGTTAAAAATGGGATCCGTGTTTAGGGATTTTTCGTGAAAAGTTACCCAGTAGAGCGGCACACCCCGTGAGTCCCCCCCCCCCCCCCCGGGCTCTATCCACCAAACTTATCTTATCCATCTTCCTCCACATCCACATTTCAAAACTCTCCAACCTTTTTTGTATGTCACCTGTTTTTGGAGCCCATGCCTCTGATCCATAGAGCAGCACACTCCAGTCCATAGTTTCCATCAGTCTCTTCGTTAGTTGGTGAGAATTTGATGCTTACGGAAGGAATCCCGATGAGGGGTTAGGCCTGTATTTATATATTCTGATAGTACATGCATTTTACGTGACGTTCATTCAGACATTTTTAGCTAGATCCATCAACATATCGCATTGACCAACGTCCCTAGACACCAGAAATAGAAAGTTAGGAAAAAGCTAGTTACCGCGAACCCCCCCCCCCCCAATATAACAGCTCGATCTTGTTGGCCTTATGTCCATTTGACTATACTGAACTCTTAGCCCTGCCCAGACAGGGCCCTGCCACCACAGACAGAGCCCTGTCAGAATTTGTAAGTATCACATAATGTGCCCTCTTGGTGTCTGACATTTTTTTTCAAGTTTAAGTAAATAGTAAACCATTCCCTTATCTGTTCTGATAAGGGCCACTTTTCATTTCCCCGGAACCTGACACCCCCTTTTTTCTCGATATAAGGAGATTTTAGTTAATACGTCTACAGTGGCGGATCCAGGAATTTCTTACCGGGGGGGGGGGGCAAAATCGCATGAGGTGAAATATATGAAAAACGATGAAGCGGAGCGACCAAGCGGGGATGGGTCAGAACCCCCTCCCAGAGTAGGAAGCATTTGCAACTTTAGAACCACATTAGGCGCATTTTCAGGCACTTAATGGAGTATAATATGACGTAAAATTGCTTTCTCCTAACCCCCTCCGAGAGTAGGGACCTTTTGCAATTTGAGAACCACATTTGGCGCATTAATGTCCACCGGCACTTCCTGGGAAAAAAAACGAGGCCTTCTCATTGGTAAGAAGTTAGAGCAAGCTTATCTGTCACGTCGCGAGATGTTGTATATGCTTTGTTGCTGCACACTGCACAAAGACGGTGGTCGGTACTTCACCTAGTAGTACTTGCAAAAGTTATCTTGAGTGTATAAACTGTGTTGTTATCAGGGGCGGCGTCACTAGACCTTTTTCAGTGGGTGGGGGGGGGGGGGAGGGGTGTAGAGCCCACCAATTACCGACAAAACTAGCCACCAATTACCGACAAATATATTAATGCCATTGTCTCAATGTCTACAAAGTTAACCCTATAAACCCGGAGCCGGGAAGTTATTTTTCAGTTTCCCCCTTTTTCCCGCAAGTAGTGCAGAAGCTATGACGTTTCATTTAATTATTAGAGAAAGAAGACGATTCGTTGTACTGTTCTCGACTCTTAATCCTTGTCTGAATTTAGTTTTCCCCCTCCCGCGCAGGTATAAGGTATCAAAATATGCTCATCTGACCGTAATTAAATGCCTAAAAACCCCTGAACTTCCGATCGCTCTGCCCCCTGGACCCCACACAAATAAGTATTCTGCCAGTGTCACAAATAAGGTATCACAAAATATGCTCATCTAACCGTAATTAAATGGCTAAAACCCCTGAGCATCCGGCAGCTCTATCCCTCTACATCCCGGGGATAGACTTTGGCTTGGAAATTTTGCAGCTTCCCTTACTTCTCGGCGTTGAAAACATCTCGATGTCTTCCAAGTACTTCAACCATCACAATTTGTACTTTGTGAACATTCGGTTGGCTTGGGTTTCCTACAAGAGCATGCTGGCTAGCAATAACATCAACAAAATACTGTTGGTACTTCCGTCACCATGCCAGTCTCTTCCGATTAGACATGCACCCTTTTTAACTACACCTTGATAAAGGTTTTTCTGGCTTCCTTTGCGGTTCAAGCTGAAAGTCGACCACGGCTTCTCCGTTCGCCCCCCCCCCCCCCCACTCAGTGTTATTTAGGCTACGCATAATTTTTTATGCTCGTTCCCTCTTTTTGAAAGCACCCCCTATCTGAGTACTGCCAACATTTCTGAACCCCCCCCCCTTTTCTCGGGCTTTTCGCGGGCTTTTCCTGCCTTGGAGACCCCCTAAATTCGGAAAAATGCTCAATGTACCCCCCTAAATTCGGAAAAATGCTCAATTTACCCCACTTAATTCGGAATAATTTCTAAGGAGTCCAAAGAGATGAGAGAGAAAAGAAAGAAAAAACACCCCTTTTTAAAGAAATCTCTGGGTGAAAAGTCAAATACACCCCTTTTCTTACAATTCTCTGGCCGGACTTTGTCTCACGAAAAGTACCCCTTCATTGGACATTTTGGTAACACGCATGCGGTCATTCCGACCCCGGAGTGGGGGGGGGGGGGGGGGCTTCTCCGTAGACATCTAATATACCTTCTCTTCCTTATCTAATATGATTTAAACTTGATGTTACTGGAATCAATTTTGCATTTTCACTGATATTCCTAAACACTTTACTTTGATACAGTATCCACTTCGAGCTGCATTTTTCTGCCGCTC